CCTTCCAGTCTGTTTAATAAAGCTACTTTCCAAAGATAATTGTAAATGTTTTATTTATGAATAGAACTATCTTGATGTTAGGGTGATGAGAAGCCATTATAAATCCCTGGTGATCGATGCCCAATGAATAATCAACTCCAATTCATTCCCCCTACATGTGTCGTACCTATATTTCTTCTTCGTCTATCTTCAAATCTGAAGTCGGACTGTAAATTAATCTGTAATGTATTATTTTAAAAGAAATGGTCTCATATTATTTATTTGTGATCACCATAGTAATTTGAGAATCCTGTAATTGTTGTATTTCTTTGTATTGTTGCTTTATTGTTGTAAAACCAAATAATGAAACATGATGAATTTCTGTTATTTGTACACATGATCGGATGAAGATATATTCCTACTAGTGATACGCTTGTTTTCACAACAACAACAAAACAAAACTAAATTTCTGCAACTCATTGAAGGAATTGATTCAGTGATAAGTAACCAAATTAACTACAAAAAATAAGAAATGTTTTCTGATAGAAATCTACACGTGTGTGTATGTACTATGAACTTTTTAGTCATTCAAAACATTTCAACATGTAATTCTCACAATGTCGGCAATGTTGTTTCCTGCCAAGTGAGATTGCCAAGAATATTCTATTACAAACATTGCCTGCCAAGAGATATCATGACTCTTTGGAATTTTAAAAAGCAATTTTTTTCTCACTAACTCTACAAATCTTCTTTTTTTGTATCAATCAGTCGTGACCCAGGCCCACTTTATTTTAAGGCTCAGACATATCTGTTAGTGGCATACTACCATGTTAACCAGACTGTCTTATAGCTCAGTATGTCGAATGTTTAGAACCAGAATATACTTCAACACAGAATCGATCGGTTACCTTCGCCCCAGATTCGCCCAGGTAAATGTAAGACAATGCTCACGAGAATCGTCTTGGACTAGTCAAGTTAGATCACCAATTTTGCCAACTTAGAATTACCATGATCTGAACCTGTTATTAGTCATTATATTATAGTTCTCAATATTATGTTATCTCTCTCATTGTCTTATTTTTATTCAAAATGATTTGTAATCTAGATAGAAACATCCTTTAACGAATAAAAATATATGGATGTGGAGATGCAGTATTTTTCTCAGGTTGTTTGTTTTATCGTAGCCCTTTCCCATCTTCTGTTTTCCAAATCATCATGTTTACAATGATAAGAGCTGATGTTTCCCAGTGGTTATCTGGGTTGTAAATAGTTTAAGTTACAGGTGAAAATAAGCTAGGTTATTGCAGTAAATATCTCTCTGACTGTGAGAAAATAAGCCGTGGAAAATTTGGAAAGAGTGAAGACACGCACGTGGTAGCTAGGTGCATTGCACAATGACAACAACTTTCCAGAAATTATCTTCAGGGCAGTCTTGATACTTTATAATCGATGTAAATTTGATTCAACAAAGAATAGAGTTTGATTTCAGGAGAGGTGTTCTTTCCAAAGTTATTGAATACTCTCGGAACATTTCCCAGACTTTAACCTGTTGATTGCAGTGTGATTTTGGCAAAGCAAATGTTTCCTGCGGTGCCCAACCGAAGTAATCTTGAAGATAGAATACAACTGGTTTAGAAAATGGACTGAACTACTACTTCATTCTTGAAACTGGCTTCTTTCTCAGATCAAAGGAGGGGTGGGGGGGGGGGGAGAGATTGTTGTTTGCTTATAAATGCTTTGTTTGTTTGTTTGTTTTACTTAGGCTATTCCGTGTCTCGTTGAAACAGACTAGCACTAGCCACTGCTAATACATGACTTGTCAGTCATCCCTGTTTCCTGGATAAGCAAATCTCGTTTATCTCCTCTTTTATCATCCCTGTCTTGATAAGGCTGCTAGAGAGCTTGAAGATGTGTCTTGGTTCATCAAGTGCCTGTCAAGACGTACCCAGTTGTGTGTTTGCATAACCTGGCGCATCTCCATTCACATCTGAAAGATGCATTAAAAAGACCATAGGGTCATTCACACAGCAATTATTTAGAAACATTAGGCTGCCAGTGAGCTTAATTTAAAGATGTGTCTCCTCGATGTACCCAGTCATGTGTTTGCATAACATGGCGCATCTCCATTCACATCTATCTGAAAGGTGCATTAGAAATACGGTAGGGTCATTCACATCATTATTTATAAACATTAGGCTGCCGGTGAGCTTAATTTAACTGTCTCCCTGCATCAAGTGCCTGTCAAGATGTCCCCAGTCATATGTTTGCATAACCTAGCGCATCTCCATTCACATCTGAAAGAAAGATGCAGTAGAAAGACCATAGGGTCATTCACACATGAATTATTTAGAAACATTAGGCTGCCGGTGAGCTTAATTTAACTGTCTCCCTGCATCAAGTGCCTGTCAAGATATCTCCAGTCATGTGTTTGCATAACGTGGTGCATCTCTATTCACATATGAAAGATGCATTAGAAAGACCATAGGGTCATTCACACATCAATTATATAGAAACGTAAGGTTGCTAATAAGCTTAGATGTGTCGCCATGCATCAAGTGCCTGTCAAGACATACCCAGTCCTGTGTTCACATCTGAACGATGCATTAGAAAGACAATCTGGTTATTCACACAGCTCTATTAGGAAAAATAAGGCTGCTAATAAGCTTAGATGTGTCGCCGTGAAACAAGTGCCTGTCAATATGTCTCCAGTCCTATGTTTGCATAACCATCGCATCCTCATTCAGATCTAAATGATTCATAAGATAGACTGCTTAATAGGTGAAGAAAGAGAGATGTCCATGCACTAGCCCCACTCACATTCCCATATGTACAATGTTAGACGGGGTATCACAAGTGAAACTGGCTCCACAGGATTTATTATGGTTTACACGACTGCTTCTGTGGTGAAGAGATATCTTTTTTGAGCCAGAGATAACGGGCAGGATGGACGTCTCTCACGTCCTCACGGTGGCGGCGCTCCCCTGGCACCAGCGTTCCTACCGGCCCCTACCCCTAGCCACCAGTCTGCCCGGCCATCTGGTCAACACTGCCCACTGAGTCTGGAGACCTCAAGTGTCATCCGTCTCCACGGTGATGATGGGGATGATGGAGGGAGGAGATAATTTGCGAGGATTCGACTTGTCCACTCCGATTCGCCGGCCGCTGAGTCTGTTGGAAGCCTGTGGTCGACAGCTTACATGAATGGCATACTGCTTTGAAGATTCAGATTCGAAGTCTTCACCGTTGTGTATTATAACTCTGCATCGGTTTCGGTGTTGATGCTTTTGATGTAAATGTACTCATCGGAATATTAGAGACAGAGACAGAGACAGCAGAGAGAGAGAGAGAGAGAGAGAGAGAAAGAGAGAGAGAGAGAGAGAGGGGGGAGAGAGGGAGGGAGAGAGAGAGATAGGAACCTTTTTAATTAGTAGTAGGAGAAAGCTGGGAGGATGAGGAGATAATAAGAGTAGTAAAAGGTAAGAGAGAGAGAGACAGAGAGAGAAAGAAAAGGAGAAGAGAATGAGAAAGAGAGAAGATGAGAAAGAGAGAAAATGAGAGAGAGAAAGAGAGAGAAAAGAGAGAGAGAGAGAGAGAGAGAGAGAGAGAGAGAGAGAGGACGATCCAGATAGAAATTGAGGAGATACATTTTCATAAATGGACCGCTACGGGGGTAGAGGCTGGATACCTGCATTCATTGCCAAATTTTGCCCAAAGATCAGAGAGTTTTTTTCCCAGCACTGTGAACTTGTCAGTCAGTATTCGTCCTGCTGGGCCTGTCATATCTAATCCTCTCTCCTGACATTGTGGAAGCATCATTAGGAGTCCTCTCGACTCAACCATCGTTGCCGTTGCTGTGACGAGGAGATGAGAGATGGACACGGAACAAGCAGAAGACAAAGATGGGGTTCAAGTCTTCAAGAAAATGAGATTTAAAATAAAGTCTTAGAAAGAAATTGAATAAGAGGTAGAAGGAGAGACAGAGAGAAAGATGAAGGAGGGAAGACAGAGGAGGAGTAGTAGTTGAAGAAAAAGAATGAGATTATAAAGAAGATGAATAAAGAAGAAACAAGGAGGAGGGATTTGGCCTGTCGTATCTAATCCTCTCTCCTGTCGGTTTTGAAGCATCATTAGGAGTCCTCTTAACCAAACCTCTGTTGCTGGTATCATGATGAGAAGAAGATGAGAAAAAAAACAAGAACGAGAAGGTAAAGAAAGACAAGATGGGAGAAAATGAGAAGATTTAGGATACTGTTTCTAATTCAGTTAAATGAGGGTTAGGAGGAGGATAAGAAATAGAAGAAGATTAAGAAGATGAATAAACAATAGGAGGATTAACATTTAATTAGCTCTTCCTGTTGTTTCATCCTGCACATGTGTTTAATTGTCCGTCATGATTATCTTGTAGATTGCGTAAAGCTCATGCACTTCCAAACACCAGCATTTCCATTTTTCACACTGAGATTTCTTTTACATTTGTTTGATACTCGGTACACAGTTTTCGATGAATTCCAAACTCGACATTGATTGGATTTACAGATCTACTTTTTTTTTCCCCATCTTACTTTTTTTGGAATTTTTTTGCCATTAACTCCAAACTCAATCTGCTTAGTCTCTTTTTATGGCTACGCCCCATGCAGGGCGGCGTAATAGGCAGTCTGAGGGGGTTTGCCACTTTGCATTACCATCAAACTAGAGTGCCCCACTGAGACACCCCTATCACCCCCCCCCCCCCCTCTCTCTCTCTCTCTCTCTCTCTCTCTCTCTCTCTGTCTTCTATGTCTTCTATGTCCAAGGTAGTCTTTTGTGTTAGCAGTGATAGAAATATGTAAAATTTTACAAATTTTTCCAGAAATCGGTTGAGTTTATGTGCATGTACTAATACTCATCTATCAACTACATTGTCTTAACCGCTTAAGGCATAAGTCCCCCAGCTGCTTACCATATGCCTTATCATTGTTTTTTGAACATCCTCCCCCTCTCCAATAGATGATCAGATCAAGTAATAATAAATCAATCAGTCAAAGTTTGTGCAGATCTAAATGTACCACTTTGGATTTATACAGGATTGCATTTGTCCCTACCATTTACCAATCTAGTGTCGAAGAGGTTTTTGAGAACAGGGTCTGACATTGAAGACTAACCGTGCTAAATCCTTGACTGTGTACTGAGCGCAATCCATCTCTCTCTCTGTCTCTCTGCCTGGCTATAATCTGCAGACTTCACTCAAACACAGCTACAGCAGAAAGCCACTGAACCGCCGAGCTGTACGGACGTGTATACTCTACTCCCTTACTCCCATTCTCTCCGTTCAGCACTCATGCTTTGCTATTGACTCCTGCTTTCGTGCTCTGTGTTGAAATCTACTGGTGTTGTATACCGATCGCTGATGCTCTCGTAGCTAGCCCACGCTCACACGCACATAAGACCTAACAGCAGTAGCAAGATACTGCCTTGGCTTAGCTTAGCTAGCTTGGCTCACTTACTATATAGAGGTGATTGGAAACACATCGCAGATCGCTAGAGGACCCTTTACTCTCACGGTGATAACCCGTAGCCGTTTCTTGGCCTGTCTCTCGTGAGTTTATCAGCTACGTTTTGAGGTGAGCTGAGCTGTGGAGGTTGTGAACCATTCCCATTCTCACGCAGGAAGCCAAGTTTTTTTTATTGTGGGATTTGATGTTTGTTGCCAACAATCACGTAATGGATTTTGTATGGATGTGATCACATTTTTTCCCAGGATTTGATCAAGTATAACTGAGGTAAGTTGTTTAGGAGTGAACTGCATTTTATTTTTTATTGTGCTTTTCTTTTTTTTTTCTTCCTTTTTGTAGTTGATCCTTTTTCTTTTTTTAAATCTTGGCCTTCATATTGATCTCTTCACCATTCCTATTTTGAAGGCATTATATCTAAAATGTTTATATTTATTCATCTCCTTTCTTCTTTTCATTCCACGATTCTGCTCTTTATTTACATTTCCTTTCCATGCATACTATGACCCCTCTATGGAATATTATTCACTCGCCACTTGACATATATATTTCATTTGCTGATCTTGATACTTTTCTGTATCATAACTGCTGGGGTCTTGTCATCCCCCCCCCCCCCCTCCAATGTGATTTTATTGTATTGGCCCCTACTCTCTGGTCTTTATTTTGCTTTCATGATTTTGGCATCCACGACTAACTGGTAAGCCTATCTCTCTCTCTCTCTCTCTCTCTCTCTCTCTCTCTCTCTCTCTTCTTCTTCTTTTGTTCTTCTTCAGCTTTTTTTCTCTAGCCATCTTTTTCCTGTACAATCTACTGTATCGATCGTAGCAGGAACTTACAAGTCCCTCATAGCTCATCATAGTAAACCTGCATATACACACAACTCATGCAACCTCTGCTCGAGCTCTGCTGCTCTAATCCCTGCCGATCGCCAGGTGCACTGAAGCAGTAATAGCAATGCTAACATGTAACCATTTTTTGTGAATAACTCGTTGAGCAATCACTCAAGCTTCAATCCCTTTTGTTAGTCCCTGATTCCATTCTTCGTCTCTCGGCCTTCTAGTTAAAGGAAAATTTTTAAGAACGTTGGCGCTATCCTCTCTCTCTATCCCTCTGTCTCTGTATCTGCCTCTCTCTCTGTCTCTCTCTCTGTCTCTCTCTCTCTTTCTCTGTTTCTGCCTCTCTCTTTCTTTTTTGCCTCTCTCTGTATGTCTCTCTCTCTCTCTCTCTGCTTCTCTGTTTCTCTCACTGTACCCTCTTACTCAATTCAATGTACATTGTTTAAGGAACTGTCTGTACTGAATGCTGACTTGAGAGAGAAAGGCTCTTTTCTACTATCCCTCTTACCTGCCTTTCTGTCATTTCTACACATTATTAGGATGTTATCCAGAATTGATTCAGAACTAGTGTGGATAAATTGAAAGAAAATTGTTTTCTTTTCTTTTCTTTATGAGAGCTCTTTGAGGATTTGGTATAATAAAATATGATTTCCATGAAGAGATTTCTTCATGTGGGCCTACATTGTGTCCCCCCCCCCCCTGAACTCTTTCGGAGCTTTCCAGACCACGATTGCTCTCTTCTCCTGTGTTTTTTGGTATTTAAAAAAAAATAGTGTTTCTTTTACACAACTACTTGAGAGTTTGTTCACTCAGGTTTTTATAGCTTAATCTTGTGACTATTGAATTCTCGAATCCCCATAGGTTTAATACATGGATCACTTGGTTGCCATAGGTGATAGGTAATCCCTTAATTTTGATGCGCATGTACATGTGTATGTTTGTGAAAGGGGTACTGGGCTATGAGATGGAAGTAAAAATGTCTCTACTCCGAATCACTGCCATCCCAGGTGGAGAGGTATTAGTCTGCATGTACAGACCCTGACTTGACACTGTACCAAAATTCCTAAAGCCTTGAGCAGAGTCTAGCTCTGTCAGGCTCTGGCTGGGTCCGGAGCACCTACAGTAAGTACACAGCCTATGTAGCATGCCATCAGCATAGTCTCACTGTGCAAACACTGTTATGCACAGCGACTGACTGACTGACGGACTGACAGACTGACGGACTGACAAAGGTTTTTTGCCTCCAAACGAGGGGGGTATTTCGAGGAAACCCTAAGGCCAAGCAGAGTTCCACAATCCCATAGAATCTACGATCCTTGACTCTTGAACTACATTTTCATTCCTTTCCCTCGCATGTAATTGAAGCATAAGACAGGTTGTAGAAGCTGTAATGAAATGGAGAGTCAAATTCTACTAAAAGAGGAAGTCATAGATTTTTCACTCAATCCTTCCCTCTTCCTCAAGGTGATTTTTCTTCATTTTGCATCTTTCTTTGCAAAAATTCTTTAAAAATTATGGTATCTGCAAAATAAACATGAAATAGATGAAAATATTAATGATGATAATTGATAGTATCAATATTTTTGTTTATAATTTTTTTTTTTAAAGTTTAATTGTGCGATATATTTATAAAATCCTCTATATTTTTAGGTCAAATATGTAAAGTTGTTTTGTCTGTAAAGTCGCAATGCTGAGTGATATAATTATGTATGCTGATTAGTTTTGAGAAATGAAGATTGTCTTGTGTTGTTTAATTTGATACAAATGCATCTTTTTGAAGGATAAAGGGGTGGTGTATTTGTGATGGAATGCAAGATCGAGCATGCCACTTTGATTACTTGTCCGAATAGCTCAACTTCTCTTCCATTTTCAATGCAAAATAGGCAAGATTCTCTCTCCCTCAATATCCGGGAAGAAGATATTTTCTGGCTTTCTGTCTCTGGCATAAAACCAGAGCGGGGCAGGCAGGCACCCTCCCTCCGTAATGTCTTTTCATGCTGTGGTGCGCGGAGAATCCCTGCGTTCCGATATCCTATGATATTCTTTGAGAATTCTCAGCGTGCCCTCTGCCTTCCCCATTTGCCAGTGACCTTGTGGTTGGAAGGAATCACTGGAAAAATGGACATTTTTTTCTTCTCTGGAAATATCTTCTTTTTTTACCACTTTCCCTCCCTCTGTAGATGATGCTTGGTGTACGTGTATCTTTGCATGAATCGCTCGCTGTATATGGAAGTTCCAAATGTAGTGTAATGTTCAGAGATCGAACAAGTCTCTTATTTGCGGGTATTTGTCACATCCTATTTGTATGCCTTTTGTGATACTTAGGCCTTCTACATGCGTCTTTAGCATGATGTGCCTTCTTTGATGCCCTGGATTATGTCTACACTCGTGTATACTCAGAATGTTGCATGCCCACTGATATTAATGTTTTATTATTACTTTATGCATCCATCTTGATCTATTCTGATTGTAAAATGAGCTCTCCAGTCCAGAGCTTGGTCTCTACCTTGGTGTATTTCTTTTACTGCAGACATAATAATCATACCGGTAATTTGTTCATAGCCCTTTTCTAGTGGTATGACAAAAAGCGTGACCTACATGTTCCTATTTTTAGCTAGATGTTTAGACTTCTGAAAGTACAACAACATAGTGGCAAACAGAATTAAAGGAGACTTGCATTTGTTATTAAACACATCTATAGGCGTAGGGGTGCCATGTGACCAAAACACTGGAGTCTTTTACCAATGTTTTAGAGAGCGGGCATTTACACTGCAGAAATCAATGAAACTTCGGCCAAATGCGGCTTATATGGAATTAAACCACAGATAGTTAATTATAGCCATGTGTCTAACAACACTACAAAAGGGGGGGGGGACAAAATATGTGGGTTGACCATAGGATAATGATCAGCTCTCCTCATTACTCTCCCCCTGTTTGAATCACCAAAATTCTTTGTACAGCCATACCAAATTGTTTAGCTACCTATACCATTTTTTTTCCAGTCTGAATGTCTTACTTTTATAGCAAGTGGAATGCATGTTTAAGCATCGTTTCAAATAAAAAACTTGATATTGCATTGAGGACCCTGCTCTAATCTGAGCGTCGTATCTAATGAAAACTGTATAAATGGGAGGAGCTCATTTTTTAGCACACACTGATAATTGGCTAGCTATCTTGTCAGCTGACCTCTTCACAACTAGTTTCTTTATTAATACATCTACAGTATTTCTCTAGTCCACTATGTTGATAGCCAGGGATTATGCCTCTTTCACACTAGAATGATTCTCTCTAATTTATGACGTTTTCTTTAAACGAGGTTCGTATAATTTTTCTTGAGTCTGAACGAGTTTATTACTTGGACATATGTTTGTAAACACTCTCCCCCATTCCTTTGGTCATCCTTTGGTCATCGACATGCGATGACCGATTTGCCGGCCAAGAAGTGGACAAACTATATGGAGTGCAATGACCTGTAGGGCATTGAACCTGCTCTGCCTGCATTGTAAGCTGCATTCTACCAACACCATCACCCCAGCCGGAAAGATGCAGATTCTTTTCTTATCCGTCACACCCTCTTTCATGCGACTAGAGCCATGCAATTTGTTTGTACGATTATTAAAGCCGTATTTAAGTAGATTTCTTTGGTCTGACAATTGATCATATCAAAATGTTGGATAATGTATGGGACCTTGTTTGTGGAGCACAATGAAGGTTTGAGCTTTGTTTCAAATGAGTACTCGATAAAGAAAGGAGTCCACTACATTGTCACGGTGAAAAACATATCGTACATATACCTTAACGGTATATAAAATGGGCAGGGCTCTACTGAGTACCAGCTGAATAAAAACTGGACTTAATCTTTTCTCCTATGACCTATGACTGCTCAAGCACATTATAACCTGAATGGACATCTCTCTCTAAGATCATTCCCTTTTCCATCATTTATTTTTAGAATAATCATATCCGTCAGTAAACAGATAATGTATGTGAGTTTTTAGTACATTGTTTCTTTATACAGTATCACTCTCTGTTCTGCCCTTTTTGCTCATCACATCAATACAACGTTTCTTTCTACAATATTGTTGGTTTCTCACTTCTTTTGCAATATGGTGATTAGAAATGTTTCTTTCATAGCGTTTCTTCGGACAAAATTGTTAGTTTCTCACTCCTTTTGCAATATGGTGATTAGAAATGTTTCTTTCATAGCGTTTCTTCGGACAAAATTGTTAGTTTCTCACTACTTTTGCAATATGGTGATTAGATATGTTTCTTCAAAATGTTTCTTTGTACATGACATTTCCTATGGTTTGAGAAGGGCTTCCGGTATATAACCCTCAAGGCTCTAGCTCATATCCATCCCCTTTCTCTCTCTCTCTCTCTCTCTCTTTCTCCCTCTCCATCTGCCTCTCCTTCCGTTGTGGCGCCTTGGCTGAGGGAGAGATGCATGTAATTCATGCCTTGTGGTGACTTGTAGATTTATGGCCAAGTTCACACTAAGCCTAGTTTTCAAAATTTGTTTGATTTCATTCGCCTTCTTTTTAATTTCTATCTTATAAATTACATTTCAAAATGGCAGGAAATACTCCTGAGTGTACATTGATGAGTCTAACTCCATAAGAATTTCAATTTCAATTTGTTTATGTTTCCATCAAAACATTACAAATCAATAATAAATCATTTACAACAAATGTAGAAATACATATTGGAAACAGAGGGGCCCACTAAAAAGCAATGTTTGTACAAGTGTGAACACCTCAAATGATACTTAGGAATAATGAGTAATTAGATTAACAAGTGCGAAGGAAGATACCGACTCAGTAGTGAATAGCAGCTTCACTTCTTGTCATTGGGGTTTATATTCCAGTGACCTTTTTTTTATCACCCTTTTCTACTTCAATCTCTTTCATAGATATATAGATTTTTTTTTTGAATGGATTCACTTATTTTTCTGTTAAATTCTTCCGTCTTCTCTCTCTCTCTGTTTCTCTCCCTTAACATTTCCACCCCCTCTTTTCTCCTCTATACCGCTTTTTTGCACTCTTCATCATATCATCTCACTCATCAATGTATTCATGAACGGAAGTTACCGAGGCTAGTAGGCTACGCACAATTTGGCACAAACAATTGCCTGCGAGACATGAATTTGGACTAACACAATACGTCGGGATACCCATGGAAGCGCTCAGATTCCCCCATCTCGTAGGTGCTTGAGACCGGACATGGAGTGAAAGATGCACTCAAGAGCGTGGAAGAGGGGCGACGAGCGAGCGCGAGACATTCATCTTTACGGAACACGATCACAAACACTTGAAAGTCTGAGAACGCCTTTTAGTAATGTTCCGGAAGCGAGAAGTCATGTCCGTCGATATAAAGTTCATTAATGCTGTCTGAATCGGACGTATACACTGTAGGCCTACTGGCCATCTCCATTTCTTTTCTAGGGCATAGGGAAGGTGGGGGGGGGGGGGAGGGGACTCAGGGGAGGATCAGTAATAGAAGTAGAACTGTACACAAGGGGGGGGGGGAACACATGACAAACTCAGGAAATTTATGTTCCCACAATTTGTACTGATGGAAATGAAACAAAATATTGTTTTGTCTGCAAGAGTGAATGTTGTAAAAATATTTTTGAAAATATGTTTAGGTAGCCAAATTTTTAGTCGTGATCAATGAGATGTGGTCACAGAGTTTTGCATAAAACACCACTGGAGAATGAAACACTAATGTACATGAAATTTCATTTGGGAGAAAATTCCTAAAATTTCTCAATTGTATTAATATGATATCCTAAAAGGGTTGTGTAGACCCACGAAAAAATCAAACAAAACTTGCTGACAGTCTCATATGATTAAAATTGCACAGATAGTGTAAATACTGTGAAATACCGCAAGTTTTTGTTTTTGTATCTGAATTAGTAGAATACAACCAAGGAGTTTTAAACTCTTTTTCCTTGTGTGAAGGGGTCCTGTAGTAGCAGATTCCTCGGAGCTAGACTAGAGTTAGCCAGCGGACATCTCGTGTTCTTTGGTTTCTCGGAGGGGTGCCGCAGACAGGTTGATTGGCAGGTAGCCGGTGCCGAGCGTTTGACAAGAGCCGCGCTACGCTGCCGAAACAACCACCGACAGAGACAGAAGCCAGCGGTGGTTTCTGTTCAAACCTCTTTTGTTTCAATATTTATCCAAGACGTTTAGATTTCAATGGCTGTCCCAGTTTTAAAGGGAAACCTTACCTTACACATGTTTTCCAGTTTTCTCTCTACGTTTCAAGACTACAGTATGTGAGTGTTGGCGTATAATAGTATTTTCATGTAAATGTACCTGCGTGTGCAGTATAGCCAGCCTGAATAAGACCATCATGTGCAATGTTCTTACACTGTATGTCTTACAATCCAGTGCCAGAGAGACATCTTCTCAAGAGTGATAATGATGTCAACAAAGACTAATGGAAAATAATCTCAATTTGAAACACTGACAAAGAACATTGAATTTGTGAGTCGATCTACAGAACAAACCCATGAGCGCCCATCAGGACTGGACACCAGCCCTATACAAGAAGCCATCATCATCGTCATCATTATCATCATCATCATCATCATCATCATCATCATCATCATCATCATCATCATCATCATCTTCATTGTTATCATCATCTTCATCCTCATCTTCATCATCATCATCTTCTTCTTCTTCATCTTCATCCTCATCCTCATCCTCATCTTCATCTTCATCTTCATCCTCATCTTCATCTTCATCTTCATCTTCATCTTCATCCTCATCTTCATCTTCATCTTCATCTTCATCCTCATCCTCATCTTCATCATCATCATCCTCATCCTCATCCTCATCGCCATCTTCATCCTCATCTTCGTCGTCATCATCCTCATCGCCATCATCATCATTAGTGGGCTTTTTGCAAAATTTGGTGTCAGCTTGTCAGAAGCCCCATCAAATAAAAATTACTTCTAATTTGTTCAGTTGCCACATACTGCAGTGAGGAGGGACATCCAATTAGCAGCAATTTTTTTTAATTTTAATCCTTTTCTCTGAAATATGAGATGAGAAGTCGTGTCATTAGGAGCAATGATCATTATGAAACCTGATCATTATGAAACCTGATCATTATGAAACCTGGGTGTCAAAAATGAATAATAAAACAGAAGGAAGATACGTGAGAAATTTCAATTTTCATTTTCTCATCTATCCCTTTTTTCCCCTTTTTATTTCTTCTATATTTCCAGTAAGGTTGAGGCGGGAAATAATTAGCAGAAGAGCCTCATTTGTGGCTTCTTAGCTGTCAATCCTTGCTCCCCCGAGATCTCTGCGTTGTCATGGAGATGATGGAGACGTCAACGCAGTATCACGGTAGGCTGGGCGGCTCGCTGTGTTCCATTAACGACCATCACATGGCGCTCGGCCAGCTAAGCAAGGGAAACAGTAGCGAAGACACATCTAGCGGTAAGTGGACGATGCTAACGTCTTTCACGTCGTCTCTCCAGGCTTTTCCCTCGTATATCTTCAGCGCATCTTTATTCCACTCTTTTATGAGCTGCCAAAGGAGATAATCGCTTCATCTGTAGAATTAGGGAGATTAGTTCTTTTCTGCTCTCTCAAGAAGAATACATATACAGGGTCTCGAGGAGTCTTTGAAATCTGTTTCGTGTGGTATTGACTGTGATTTAAAAAGGGAATACCGGTTCTGTACATGTAATCACTGAGGTATGAACACGCTGTTTATTGATCTTGTCGAGTTGTTTGTACATAATATATGAGCGAAGGAAATCCTAAGTGGAGGGAGTGTTTAAACATCTTCCGTAATCATGATCTTTTGATTTTGACATTTTAAGAGTGCTCTCACATTTCTTATCAATGTCATTTAAATCCGTTCAAGCAAAGGAAAATATTGTGATTGAATCCTGATGTATTTTGTTCTGACTTATCTACGAATCGCTCATTTCATATTGTGCATGGATGTACAAATAGTGCATTTATCACAAGATATACTGTAGTCAGTTAATTGTTTACTTTCTCAGAAATATGTATTCACGGATGCAAATTTGATTTGTTGACTTTCAATTTTCGTTGTTTCTTCTCTGGATCTTCTTACAGACGACGTGGACTTGGATGCCCTAGTTAACGGCATGAATTCCTTCCCCACATACAACGAAGACAGGCCGCTATTGGCCAGCACTGAATCATTAAACAACCATCTCTCTGCGCAGCAGGGCGGTCTCAACGGTATCTACATGTGTCGTCAAGCCAGCCAGCCGGCCACACCCACAAGAACCCAACCCCGCTCCCCCCACAACCAGAACCATAGCAACAATCATCAGGTCGTCAATGACCACCACAATCATCATCTTCATGAAAGGCATCAGCTCCAGCATAGCAACAGCCTCACGTCTCGCTTCATCCCGCGCCTCGATCGCGAATGGAGGAGCAAGTCGATGCCGGAAGATCTGCGAGAGCCGGTGGCCACCGCCCCGCTCAGCTCGTCGTTCCCTCGGAGGGGGCAGAGCGAGAGCAGCAGTGGGGGTAGCGACGGGGACGAGGCACAGGTACCGGACCCCTTCCCTGAGCTGGGCGGATGCAGTCCAAGATGGAAAACAACGCTAGGCTCTGCTGTGGTATGTTCCTTATAATTATATTTTTTAGGGGGGAAGAGGGACAGTTCAAGGATACTACAGTGTATGTACTAAAGTAAGAATGTTCAGGTTCTCTCCTCAGTGGGTCCTATGCAGCTTGTGTTTCGAATGAACATTCCTTCTTTAAGTATTGAAGACATCAAGGTCACTAATACAAATAAACACAAGTGAAATATTTGTTTCCCAAAAAATAACTTTGCAGGTAATGTTGACTTTTTCTCTCCTAGACTCATTCAGGAGAAGTTTCTTGAGACATTCAAGGAACCAGGGGAAAAGGGGATAGGATATGAATGAGTTTTCAAGAGGATAGCCGAAAGTTGAAATGAAGGCAATGGTTTTTTTTCTCGGAACCGTCCATGACAAATTCTCAGTCAAAGTGCTTTAGCACTGCTTTCACACTGTCTAGGGAGTCTTTCAAGGCAGCTGGAATCTCCTGCAGTTTGCTCATAAATCGTCATCATCGTTCTGCCCCGTCCCCCTCTATTACAGACAGCTGTAAATCAATGCTAACTACATTTACATTGCACTTGGAAAGCTAACAGTTTGTCCCATTGCTGTATAGTCGTCCCAATTCAGTTTGGGAACAATAGAATTGTGTATATAATTGAAGTTTTCGTGTGTGAACGTCTTGGAGTGAAACAGATGTTTGGTCATTGTTTTTATCAGAACTTGATAAAGAATCTGGGTAGACTCAGTCTGGGAAAATTGTATGTAAAATAAAACATGGAAATTGTATGCAACCATGCATTTCCCCTTCTCTAGAGAGAGGTTCTTTTTAAAACTCTTCCAAAATATATCATATATATGCATCTTGTAAGTATTCTGTTTCTGCTACCTATATGTTTATTCATTGTATTTGTTTCTTGGGACTATTTTTCTTGTGTGTCTTAAAACGATATGGAGGCCTGTGTTCTTTTATCTTAAAAAAGCCATTCAGTAATAACAGTTAGTTCTGATTCTTTGTGGTTATTAAATATTTCAATAGGTTTATCACCAACAGTATGAGTCATAAAAATAGCAATTTGTGTCATTTTGAGTATTAAGCCTATGACTTAACCCCCTTCGGCCTCTCAGCAGATGATATGTAAAAGATGCAGCTCTCGCGCAAAGGGCTCTATCCTCATTATTAGGCATCAATAGTCTATCAGTCTACTAGGCATCGTTAATCTGATTGGTAGAATTGGAAAACCGCCCCCAGCGGGAATATTTCCGCTAATTAGTTCTTGAGTTTATTTTTAGCAAAGTTGTCCTCTTTCTATATATATAATAACGATCAGCCAGACTACTGACACCACAATGCGGGGAGTAAGGAAACGGCCCTGTGGGTGGGGGATTTAAATTTAGATCAAGAAGGTTTCGGTTAATGAATTTCATCAATCAAGAAGCCATACAAAAAAAAATTGTCTTTTATTAAAAAGAAGCTGCATTGGTTTAAATGTTGCCATTTATAGAATAAATTAGCAGCATTCTATTTTTAACCATGCATGAGATTTGGGCAGTATCCAAACAGATGCCAATGTATTTCTATGCCTCCGCTATGATTTTAGGGTGAGTGACTGCACATCTGTTGAGATTTTTGTGAGTTTCTTCTTGGGGTCTGTGAATGGATAAAAGTTCTCACAAAATCAAACAAGAGAGTTAGAGCATGGTTAGAGAGAGGGAGGGGGAGGGGGGGGGGTGAGGGGAGAGAAATAGAAACAGAGAGGGAAAGAGGGTACGGAGAGAGGGAAGTGAGGGAGAGAGAGAGGGAGGGAGAGAGATGGAGGGAGAGAGATGGAGAGAGAGAGAGGGAGGGAGAGAGATGGAGAGAGAGATGGAGGGAGAGAGATGGAGGGAGAGAGATGGAGGGGGAAGGAAGACAGGGAAGGAAAGAGGGTAGACAGGGTGGGAGGAGGAGGAATGTTGAATAAGAGATATAGAGTGGGAAAACAAATTACTTGAGCCACTGAGAATTGTTATTGTTATTGTATGTTTAAAAGTTGTTATTTCAAAGAAAGCACTTTGTATGAAAACAAGTTTACAGGAAATAACATATTTTGATCTCCATGTCACATGAATTTGTGTGTGAAAAATACATCGTGCAAAAAGCGTTCTCATTGAAGCCATTCAGTGAAGCCATTCGGTTCTCTTGCATGCAGTATACTACTGACTGTATGTTCCTTCTAAAAATAACCCAAGTTGATGCCCCCATATGAAGCTACTTGTAAGACGTGTCCATCAACCTTAATTGATGAGAGCCATAACTCAGGCAAAACAGGAGCACATTCCTTAAGCTTACCCTCCAATGATGGACAAGCCAGGAAACTATTTAAAGGGATCAGTCAGCGTAGTGGCGGCCCTCGAGGACGGGCGGGTGCCCGTGAACTTCAAGACAAAAGCGTGTCACGATGTTTTTATTTATTTATTGCTCCTTTCCGAAGGAGAGGAAATTTTTATTGGTTAGGTCAAGTTTATCTTTTTGTATGAGAATAACAATAAAAGGTTGAATAACCATAACTCTGACAGGAAGTCAAGGCTCTGATTCTGAATTTGATATATTTGCAAAAGGTCTGGTTTGGCTTGATTTCATGAAAGTTAGGACGAAGAAAATCTGTTCGATGATCTTTTTTTAGGTATATAAGTTTCAAGTATCTTGTTTTGATGAATGTATTTTATTTGAGGCCTATTGTTCTTTTGGTTAAAGTTTAGATAATTGTCCATTATTTGAAGTTTTGAAGTCCCAACAATAAAAAGGGCAACGCACTTTGTCACACACTACCTTGTAACAGATTTATATGGCTTTTTGAGAACTATTGCCTCATGCTTAGCCTTAGGATAGCTATGATTATGATAGCAGGGCTCGAATTACCCACCGGCAATCGGCAATTTGCCGCCATGCCCCTCTCATTGGCCGGAATGCCCTTTTCAAAATCAAACCGTTTACGGCCACAATATTTAATCCACAAAAGTTTTGCCGACATTATAGTCATCGTAAGCCAACCCGACTTGTAATGTTCAAAAAGGTTTTGTTGCCCATACAGAGCTCTAAAAACAATGATAGTCGGCAAGGTTTTGTTGCCCCTCCGGAGCTCTAAAAACAATGGTAGTCGGCAAGGTTTTGTTGCCCCTCCGGAGCTCTAAAAACAATAATTACCGGAAGGTTTTGTTGCCCCTCCGGAGCTCTAAAAACAATGATAGTCGGCAAGGTTTTGTTGCCCCTCCGAGGCTCTAAAAACAATAATTATCGGAAGGTTTTGTTGCCCCTCCGGAGCTCTAAAAACAATAATTACCGGAAGGTTTTGTTGCCCCTCCGGAATTCTAAAAACAATGATAGTCGGCAAGGTTTTGTTGCCCCTCCGAGGCTCTAAAAACAGTAATTATCGGAAGGTTTTGTTGCCCCTCCGGAGCTCTAAAAACAATAATTACCGGAAGGTTTTGTTGCCCCTCCGATGCTCTAAAAACAATAATTATCGGAAGGTTTTGTTGCCCCTCCGGAGCTCTAAAAACAATAATTACCGGAAGGTTTTGTTGCCCCTCCGGAACTCTAAAAACAATGATAGTCGGCAAGGTTTTGTTGCCCCTCCGAGGCTCTAAAAACAGTAATTATCGGAAGGTTTTGTTGCCCCTCCGGAGCTCTAAAAACAATAATTACCGGAAGGTTTTGTTGCCCCTCCGGAGCTCTAAAAACAATGATAGTCGGCAAGGTTTTGTTGCCCCTCCGAGGCTCTAAAAACAATAATTATCGGAAGGTTTTGTTGCCCCTCCGGAGCTCTAAAAACAATGATAGTCGGCAAGGTTTTGTTGCCCCTCCGAGGCTCTAAAAACAATAATTATCGGAAGGTTTTGTTGCCCCTCCTTGGCTCTAAAAACAATAATTATCGGAAGGTTTTGTTGCCCCTCCGGAGCTCTAAACACAATAATTACCGGAAGGTTTTGTAGCCCCTCCGGAGCTCTAAAAACAATGATAGTCGGCAAGGTTTAGTTGCCCCTCCGATGCTCTAAAAACAATAATTATCGGAAGGTTTTGTTGCCCCTCCGGAGCTCTAAACACAATAATTACCGGAAGGTTTTGTAGCCCCTCCGGAGCTCTAAAAACAATGATAGTCGGCAAGGTTTAGTTGCCCCTCCGATGCTCTAAAAACAATAATTACAGGAAGGTTTTGTTGCCCCTACGGAGCTCTAAAAACAATAATTACCGGAAGGTTTTGTTGGCCCTTTGGAGCTCTAAAAACAATAATAGTCGGCAAGGTTTTGTTGCCCCTCCGGAACTCTAAAAACAATATTTATCGGCAAGGTTTTGTTGCCCCTCCGGAGCTCCAAAAACAATAATTACCGGAAGGTTTTGTTGCCCCTCCGGAACTCTAAACACAATGATAGTCGGCAAGGTTTTGTTGCCCCTCCGGAGCTCTAAAAACAATAATTACCGGAAGGTTTTGTTGCCCCTACGGAGCTCTAAAAACAATAATTACCGGAAGGTTTTGTTGCCCCTCCGGAACTCTAGAAACAATGATAGTCGGCAAGGTTTTGTTGCCCCTCCGAGGCTCTAAAAACAGTAATTATCGGAAGGTTTTGTTGCCCCTCGCACTCTGAAAACAATAATTACTGGAAGGTTTTGTTGCCCCTACGGAGCTCTAAAAACAATAATTACCGGAAGGTTTTGTTGCCCCTACGGAGCTCTAAAAACAATAATTACCGGAAGGTTTTGTTGCACCTCCGGAGCTCTAAAAACAATAATAGTCGGCAAGGTTTTGTTGCCCCTCCGGAGCTCTGAAAACAATAATTACTGGAAGGTTTTGTTGCCCCTACGGAGCTCTAAAAACAATAATTATCAGCAAGGCTTTGTTGCCCCTACGGAGATCTAAAACAATGATAATCGGCAAGACTTTGTTGCCCCTACGGAGATCTAAAACAATAATTATTGGCGAGACTTAATTTCCACTATGGAACTTCTAAATTAATTGGCGTGACTTAATTGCCGATACGGAGATATGAAAAAATGTCTTCATCCAAATGACTGAAACGTTTGGCACAAAAACCGTAATGACTTAGGCTTAGTTTTTCAATCCATCCTTTTTATTTGAACCAATCAATATCGGGAAGTTTTGTTTACCCATCGTTGGTTCAACATCTTTACTTCGCGTTGTGACCTTTTTTGGTGCGTTTTCACAGTTTTTAATCAGTGAAAAACTTGGATTTTTCTCGGGAGGAGGGTCTGGAATTAAATCAGAAAAGGATTAAGAGTCGAGATAATGGTACAAAGAATCGTCTTCTTTCCCATACGTTTTAATTAAAACGTCATAGCTTCCGCCCATCGCGCGGGAGGGGTGTGAATTGAGTTCAGAAAAGGATAATACCTGTAGTCGAGATCGAGACGAATCGTCTTCTTTCCCTAATAATTTATTAAAAACGTCTAAGCTTCCGCGCTTCCCTTGGAATTCAGAAAAGGATAAAGAGTCAAGAACGGTACAACGAATCATCTTCTTTCTCTAATAATTCAATGAAACGTCAAAGGGGAAACTCCCCCCCCCCCCTCCAGCTCCCCCCCCCCCCCCAATTTTTTTTTGAAAAGCATTTTAAAGAGAAATAGAAAGAAAGAGAGCAAGAAAGAAAAAATAGTTAACTACCAGTTTCTCAACAAAATAAGGTATCAAAAATTGCTCATCTGATCGTAATTAAACGCCTAAGACCCCTGAGCTTCCGAGGGCTCTGCCCCTGGGACCCAACCAAGGGCCCTTTGGCAGGCCTCTTGATACTCATCTGACTGCAATTTAGTGCCTAAAACCCTTGATCTTCTGGGGCTCCGCCCGCTGGACCAATCAGTGTCCTGCCAGTGTCACAAATAAAGTATAAAAATATGTTCATCTGACTGTAATCAAATGCTTAAACCCCTGAGCTTCCGGGGGCTCTGCCCCCTGGACCCCACTGGATGCTAATCTGACGGTAATGTAATGCTTTAAACCCATGGGCTTCTGGGGGCTCCGCCCGCTGGACCTCAGGCCAATCAGTATCCTGCCAGTTTCACAAATAAGGTATAAAAATATGTTCATCTGACCGTAATCAAATGCCTGAAACCCCTGAAATTCAGGAGTTTCCGCACCCTCGACTCCACCAGGGGCCCTGAGGCGGGCCCCTGAATGCTTATCTGACCGTAATTTGCCTTCAACCCATGAGTTTCCGGGGACGAACAAGGTATCAAAAGATGTTCATCTGACCGCAGGCACGTAGCCGGGGGGGGGGCAGTGGGGGCGCCCCCCCCCCAAAAAAAAGAGCCAAAAAAGAAAGGAGAGAAAAGGAAGAGGACGTATGAAGAAAAAGGAGCAGACAAAAAACTGTATTCATGCAGGCGAGGATTATTTTCGAGAACGGTACAACGAATCGTCTTCTTTCTCTAATGATTTAATGAAACGTAAAAGCTTCCGAGCTTTGCGGGGGAGGGGGGGGGGCGATGAATTTAGACGAGGATTAAGAGTAAAAAACGGTACAACGAATCCTCTTCTTTCTCTAATGATTTACTGAAACGTAAAAGCTTCCACGCTTTGCGCGGAGGGAGGGGAACTGTATTCAGACGAGCAGGCACGTACGCAGGGGGGGGGGGGGGGGGTTTGGGGCGTTAAACCCCCCCCTTTGTTTTTTTTATGTCTGTATTTTGAAGCAAACCCCCCCCCCCCTTTTTTTTTTAAATGAAACACACACAAAAAAAATTATGCCAATGGCTGATCTAAAAAAGGTGACCTCAACCCCTCCCACCCCTCCCCAAACTTAGGGAACAAAATGTCAAATTTTCAAATTTCGAGACCAAAAAACATTTATGTCTGTATTTTGAAGCAAACCCCCCCCCCCTTTTTTTTTTTAAATGAAACACACACACAAAAAAAAAAATTATGCCAATGGCTGATCTAAAAAAGGTGACCTCACCCCCCCCCCCCCCACCCCTCCCCAAAGGGAACAAAATGTCAAATTTTCAAATTTCGAGACCAAAAAACAAAAAAAGTGTCCTCTTACCCACCCCCCCCCCCCCCCCCCCCCCCCCCCCGCTTATTCAGCGGCTGGCTGAGCCGTTGCAATTTTTTGGGGGGACAAAAAAAAAGTGGGCCCCCCCCCCCCCCCCCTAAGGAAGAAATCCTGGATCCGCCCCTGGGTGCACATATCCCCCCCCCCCCCCCACCTTGAAAACAACGGCGTGAGGTGATCTTACGCGCACTTTCCACGTTGGCCTTAGTGCCCCTTAGGATAGATTTGTGCCCGTTTCAGTGGATTTGTGCCCTCTCAAAAAAGTGGCCTTGACCCAAATTTGATGTAATTCGAGGCCTGTGATAGGTTTACAGTTTGAAGTTAAAGATAAAGTTGAGTACTGGTAAAAAAAAGAAAATTATTTCTCACAGAATCAAACGAAACTTACACTGAATGTTCAAGATTACAAATAAATGACATGTGCCAAACGATTTTGGAAGAAAATGTATACTGGCTGAGTAATGAGCATAGAAAGACAAGGAATCAAGGTAGTACCAACCCCGACACAATGCGTGTTGTCCCATACATAGCTTTCTGTGTATGTGCTTGTTACTTTACCAAGACTCGGTCAAATTTATTATGATTTTGATGACTCCAGAACCTTGCAGTGCACACCAATACTTACATGCTACATGATCAACTGTTTCTGATCCTTTCCACACCTTTTCTTTCACAATGCAATCGCATTACCAGTACTAAAGTTTATCTTTAATAAAGGGACAGATAAAACCCTTTCATGGTATTTTTCAAGTTACGTTTAATAGTACTCTCAACTTTGCGTAAAACTATTAGACATAAATGCATTAAAAATAATCAAGAAGTGAATGGATTAAAGTTGTAGGCTTGACTGTAGTCAAATTTAATGCCGCAACATACACTTGCAGCCGAGTCCAAATACATTTATGTTCATTTATGCGTTCATTTATGCATTCATTTATGCTGATGTATCTCACACAAGTAGTTTCTACATTATATTTTAAGGTGATGCTCTCACTATTTTTCAATTATTTCTGTTGTTGTGTCTATTTTTTTTCAATGCAAAGTGTTATTTCCTGAGTTATAGACAGTTCCTGTGTTACGAATATAACATAACATCTTTGCAAAAATAGACACTGGTAATTGCATCCCTGAAGAGGCATAATGCATAAATAAAAATGCTGTTTTTATCGATGCGTAGGCTTTAGGAATTATATTTAGACTACTTCCTTCCTCAACGTGATCAGAATTGAACTGAGTAGGCGTACCATCATCAAATGTTTTTTGTTTTTTAAAATGTGATATAATAATAACAATAATGATGATATAGAGTATTTATAATACACAAACTTCACATGACTACCGGTAATGTGCACAAGGCTCAAATAAATATGAGAACATGAAAAATCCACAAAAAATTAGACAACTTTAAAAAAAGGCATTAGATCTAGGTACCATAATTTTTTTCTCCATCAGATCTCAGTAAGTCATTTGCTTAGATTTTTTAGGCTGTTTTCAAGAGAAAAATGTAATTTTTGTCAAATTGCATTGTTTTTGTTCTTGTTTTGTTTTTCTTCTTATTTTCCATTTGAGCGCTACCATGTACATGTACACGAAAATCACATCTGTTCTCAAAAATAAAAACTGTCATTTCACCACGGCAATTTGTTTGATTATACCCCCAGCCGTCTATTCTTTGAAAAAGAGGAAATTATTGACATTTATTTAATTTGATATTGACTACCACCAGACAATTAATTTGTGCGTGCATCTTTTTCCCCATTTTTCATCTTATTTTAGGAGGAATTATTTCTGAGACAGAAGCTTAAAGAGAAGAAGACTTTGGAGGAAACTAACAACAATGACAACATCACACAGGTATGTAGTTGAAGAAGTAATATATTTTGTTCTTTTCGGGTATTCATTTCATGTGTTACATGAATGTTCAATGTGCTGCATGTATCAGTAAATCAATTGAAGAAAAAATTCAGTATCTTGTTTTTTGACAGACACTTTTGTATAAAAATGTATGGAAATGTGGAGAAGTGAGTAACATGAAGAAGAGCAATATTTACCCAACTGAAAAATTAGGACAAACTTGGGTTAGCCATATGGAGAGATTTCTAACATTACATCACACTAAGACGTAACAGGAATTCTCATCGATTGAAGACGTGTGGTAACAAGGAGATTGTGCTTGTGCACCGTGAAGGCATGATGAAGATGAGTGGATACATCATTAGTTGTATGATAGAGCGAGCATATGATGTTCCCACATCTAGGCATGATGAACACGAATGACTTCATGTCATTGCGACATCTTCTTCGCTTGTCTACGTGAGTGACCGCTCAAGTTCACGGACATGCCAAATGCAGGTCGGAGGGGGCAGGAGGAGGAAGAATGCCCTTGCTGTTGTCGTGTGAGGGCCGAGCAATTGAAGATCCGGGCCCTCATTTGAAGTACCCATTAGTTCGGGAAGAGGATGAGGAGGCGATTCTCCTGCTTTCTTCATTTAGGCGAAGATGAGAACGTGACGCGATTCTATCAATTTGAAGTTGGCAGCAATTCTGGAGGACACGCCGGGCCTGTTAGCATGGCTTGTAAAAGGTTGGATCATTCTGTGAGACACAATATGGGACCTGTTTCACAAAGCCTTTTTTCAATGACAAATGACAAAAATCAGTGACAAATCTGCTGATAACCAATCAGAAGCAAGGATTTCAGTAGCTTTTAACATTTGTCACCGATGACAAGTTTTGTGAAACACCCCCCTGGTTGCTAAAACAAAGTTTATCGCCTTGAGTGAACCTACAGAATTGTTAACATTGGCTTTGATCGATGGGAAATTTTCAGATCATACAGGTGCCGCGACGCGTTCAGTTGGAATCAAGATGCCCTGCAGGGGGGCGTTTCACAAAACTTGTCATCAATGACAAATGACAGTTATTGTTATAAGCTACTGAAATCCTTTCTTCTGATTGGTTATCAGCAGATTTGTCACTGATTTTTTGAAAAAAGGCTTTGTGAAACAGGCCCCATGACTGATCTATGCAAGAAGCAGCAGTCCGAACAGTCCCTTTTGCTCAAGGTGCCCAACGTAAGTGGCTAGCTGCGTCAGGTCATCAACTCCTGCCTGTTACAGAGAGGTGTTAAACAGAAAGAAGAAAAAGAAGTGAACGATGAAGAAGCAAGCATTAAAATTCACTAGGTTTTTTTTCTTTCTTCCCGTCGTTCGTTCGCGGCCGGTTACAAAATCTAAAGATGCATGTGGGATGCATCAGGCGAGTAATTCAATCAATGCAACTACAGCCAAAGAAACTCTGACCATAATCAAATCAAGTGGGAAATCTTGAACTTGTAGTCAGGGAAATCGGAGGCTGTCTCTGCCTTGCCTAAGGGCCTTGATGTCGATGTCCTTCACGTTTGGTAGCCTAACCGATGTCAAAATTGAGAATTAGAGACTGATCAGGAATTCCTCCCAAGAATGAACTTGTAATTTTGTCAAGGATTGACTACTTGAGGAGAACGACTGTTTAATGCTACATTATTGCTTATTCATCCATTGAAATCAAGGAAATCTGACCGAAAAGGTTTTTTATGTAATTTTTGTTATTGTGTTGTTTTTGTTGTTTGGGAGTAGTGGGGGAGAGGGGGGGGGGGGAGGCTTACCAAACTTCTAAATGAGTACTACAGTAGGAGATAATACAGATTTGATATTTGTAAATGAGCTTACTTTTTGTTATTATGAGTGATTGCTTTAACATCAGTGGTTATGTAACTTGACCTAAAACCCGTAGAAAGACTTCAAATGAAGCTTGCATCATGCTGGATGAATATGGAGTTTGAATTTAACTTGAAGATTCTAACATATGGTCATGATTGTATTATGAGACTATATATTGGTTAAGAAAACAGTGCAAAAAGTCAGATTACCGTGTTCTACATGTAAGTGTTGCCAATTTGTAAACCCTGCGTGATAGGGATCATAACATGTTATGTAAGCCTCATTTCAAGAGTTTGAACTTGTTCACATTCCAGTCCACTTTATCGATTCTCAAGAAATCGAGTAGCCTCTTTATCAAATACTGGAAAACTTGTTGTAGAGGCTTAATCAAACAATGCATTTTAAAAAGATAAAAGGCAAGTTATCTGGGTTACAGTGTTTATTTGTCGAAACCCTTCTCTGCCTTTTATCATATTTTATCAGTGCCTCGCAACCCGATGCACTTTATCGCGCGCTCTCGTAGGGGACTGTAAACATTGGCTGGTGTCATGTGACGTGTTGGGCAAACTTCTGTGAAGATCTGCACGTGTGTGCTAGATGCCATGTTTGGGCTGTCACGTTCTGGAGTGTATACAAACACACACGAGGAGCAGGCAGTATAGGTTCTCACACTTAATGCAAATGTCAAAAGATGCTGCTTATGAAACTCTTTTTAAATAGTTAAAGATAAAGTTGAGTTCTGGTCATTCGATTGCATTGTGATAGAAACGTTGTGACAGAAATATTGTGGAATCGATCAGAAAAGGTTGATCACCTAGCATATAAGTATTGGTGTGTACTGCAACGTTCCGGAATATCAAAATGATAAGAAATATGGCCCAGTCTTGGTAAAGTTACAAGCACTGTACACAGAAAGATGTATATGGGACTACACAAACATATGGCATAAAAATCTGTCCCGATTTGTATGATGTTACATGCCATGTTTAGGATATTAAGGCATTTGAAGAGCTATGCTTTTCAGGGAACATTTTTTATCTGATGTTCTTCCACACTTGCATAATACAATGATAACACTCACAAATTATTTTTTCACCTCTTCCCAGAACTCAACCTTCTCTTTAAGATGGTTAATTAGAAACTAATAGTTTATACAATTCTCCTTGTAAACTGAACTGTTCCTATTTAAGTCACCAAGTATAAGTGATATAGATGCTCACCCCCATAATGACATTGACTGGAACCATGTTATGCCATTGGAAACATTTTGAGATGTATGCTTCCAACTGTGTATATTCTGCTCCATATTCTGCGCCATTGTTACCGAGGTACGTGTTTATTGTGTGTAAACATACTGGGACACATGATCCGTTGAACATAATACCTAATCTAAACTCCATTTCTAAGAAGTTCAGTTGTAGGAGGGGAGAACAAAAGATTGGGAGATGGACTGCAAATATTTGAAGATGAGCCAATGACAATATGAAAAATCACCTTATCGAATTTCATGAGGCATCCTTGTCTTGTTTCTATGTGACTACTTTTTACGTTACATTCTCATTCCTAGAAAAACAAAAGGTGGTTGGATTTCAAAAGAACAGTAAATATTGTATCATATTTCCAAAAAAAGATGTAGCAAAGAAAGAAAAGAGAGGCATTCTCACAGGAAAGAGTATGAATTAATTGTCTGGTCACTTTTTCCAGATTTCATGTGAGAAAGAAAAAACCTTTACAGCAGCATGATCATGAAGGTGTGTTATTTTAATGTTTGTCAACTAAAATCAAAGAAATTTGATATTACATCAGGGGTGGGGAGGGGGGGGGGGGGGGGAGGTACCAGATATGTTAATGAGCTTTATATGTCACATAAAAAGTCTCTCTTTGCCTTATACTGTGTTTATAATGGAATACCGGTAGATAAAGGGTTCAAATTTATTCAACTGGTACAATGCAAGATAAAAGAGTTGTCATGGAGCAAATCAGGACCAGAAATGGGTAATGTTGCAAAGCCATCATACTGCACAAAGCATTCCTTACATCAATCTGTGCCTACTGTTTTGTGCAAAACTGCACAAGCGGCAAACAAGCGACAGCGCTGATAGGGGAAGAAAGCAAGCGAGCGTGTAAAATGGTAACAAAAAGCCAAATTATCATTTTTTATTTTTATAAATCTCTTGCTTTTACAGGCGCTGGTGAAGGTGCTTAGTGAAGATGGCATGACAAAGGTTTATCAGGTAGACGGTAGTCACCGGGTGGAGGAGATCTGCAGACAGATGGTTGCTAGGAACCACGCCCTTAACGACAAAAGCTGGTCACTCGTAGAAGAGCTCCCGGACCTTGATTTAGGTAAGAAGATTTTATTTTACACTTTAAAGTTACCTTTGTGGACTGAATATGAAAAGTCAATAAAAATACTATGAAAAGCAAGCACAGCATAAAATATAGAATAAAAGAAACTGTGATGTCATTTACCTGTATGTTTATATGTTCATGTCACCTATATTATACCTACACCAACTATTGCATCAGACAACAACAAAAAATCAATTTGCATTCCTGTCACTGCAGACATGTAATCATGAATATTTTTTAGTCAGAAGTTTTATAACAGGAGTTTCATAATTCCCCTCTCAGCATTAATTTTCCATGTTTCATAACGTCTGAATCAAAATAAAAGAAAGGTCTTTTAATTCCTTTTAACCTGTCTGCCGAGCCAAATATTGGAATTTTAATTACACTCGTATCTCTTGATAAGTTATCTATCAGCCATCGTAATCTTCTTATCTCCAGCAAACTATGTCGACTGCAGTCACAATATACTCACGCCACTTTACGAGTTGGCCTTTTCAAATAAAGAAAATGAATAAAAATAAAAAAGTCTCATAAAACTTAAAACTTGACTTGATGGTTTACTCTGTCGATTACATTGTTTGCTTAAACGGGTTATGAAGGTTGCGATTTCCGGCTTGCAATGTTGGGCTTACTTACGTTAATGGTGTCAAAGATTAATGCAAATTTGTCTTTGGTGCGAGAGATCCGTGTAGATCGTTCCATAATTTCCTTGCGCGAGTTGTTACGAGAGAGAAGCAAAGTAAAAACAACAACCAAAGTTGACGATAAGACAGGAGATTCACCAGAGAAAAATGCAGTAAGATTTTAATGAGCGTCATTGACGGAGATGCAATGTTTACAAATAGTGCTTGATTACTATTGTTGCTATGTTGAATGGGTTTGAGAGTTCACTGGGCCGTTACGGTAGTTTTTCATAGGATTAGGAAGAGATGGTAAATGTAGATCATTTAGATTAGTCCGGAGATTGCTAAAGTAGATCAGGTGGGAAGACTGGAGTTTCTTGCAAAAATGGCAACATTCCAATAAGTCTTTCTTAACCTCACTCTCACCCTAATCTTCTACCCAATTTCTTTTCTTATCCTGTCATACCTTCCCTCTTTCATCCTATCCTTCAAATCCTTTTTTTTCTTTCTCTTGTTAATTTTATTCCTTCCTTCTTTCATAACCTCTCTCTCTCACCCTATCCTTCTAGCCACCTTCTCTTTTCCATGCTGCTCCTTCTCCACTTTACATAACATCCCACGTCATCCTTCCAGCTCTCTTCCTTTTTTTCATTCCTTCCTTCTCTCACCTTACATAACATCCCACGCTATCCTTCCAGCTGCCTTCCTTTCCTTTATTCTTCCTTTCCTTTATTCCTTCCCTCTTTCACAACCTCTCTTTCACTCTTTCCTTCCGGCCATCTTCTTTTCCTCTATTCCTTCCTTCTTTCCTCTAACCTCTCTTTCACCTCGTCCTTCTTGATCACCCTCCCATTTTCCTTGACTCTACAACCCAAGGTGCAAACGCAGTACTTTGAACTGGAGTGGGTCCCGTCCAACTGGCATCACGCCAAATATCTTCCATTTCCCCCCTCTTGCATATCCCACTGCGGGGCTATAAAATCCACATCACTGTCAGATATAGTATATTTACAAACGGTCCAATAATCAATATCGCAGTTTGGTGTGTATACATGTACATTTCTCATGTCTTCACAAGTTACTCATGGCAAACTTTGTGGAAAGAGAGAGGAGAGATAGATGGGTGTGGGTAGGTGGGAGGAAGACTAAGTGGCATTCTTACCTGCACATGAAAATCACAAGTTATTTTATATTTGGCACAGTAAAGGCACGCGGCTGTAAATGTCATAAGAAAATTTAGGACTTGAACTAAATCTCTCTATCATCATTTCTGATGCAATCCACTTCTTTGTTTGCTATTTTAAGCCCAAAAAACAAATGTAAGCTAGTGCATGAATACATGTGCATCAAAGCCCCCCACCCCCGCAAGTCTTCAACCAATCAATCACTCCTCACTTTTTATCAAATGGGGGGGGGGGGGGGGGAGAGATTGTTGACTGATGTTAAACTAAGTTTCTTTTTCTTCTTTTTAAAATATATGACATTTGTATGTACATGTATGTGTATTTAATTTAATTTGTTTCAGCGCCTGAAGAGTTTGTCTTATCTAGAATTTTGTCCTGTATTTTTTATTGCAGAAAGGACGCTAGAGGATCACGAAAGTGTATTAGAGGTCTACAAGCAGCACCTGAGCTCTACGAATGGCAGACTCCACTTACGAAAAGACTTTCGCAAATATGAGATGTTTCTGAATCCAGGGGTAAGACAGATTCTTTTCTTTTCTTTTCTTTTCTTTTTTAATCAAATGTAATCTACCTGTGTACCATGTTGCAGTTACTGTATTAACTAAATACTTTTAATGCATATATCTGACACAGTGCGCAATCTTCAAGGCCTTGAAGCAGCACTTTTCTTGGAAGAAGAATAATATTACAGTTTAATTTTTGATCGCTTTTTAATATTCTTATTAACCCTGTAATAACATTTTATAAATAAATGTCAAAATGTTTACACTACTTAGCTCTATGTGAAGCCCACTTGACTATACATTAGTAACTTGTTCTTTCCCCCGAGAAATCAGCTGTTGTATTAAGCTCAAGATGAGTCCTAGAAAACAAGAGAACAAAAAGCTAGAGAAGAAATTTGGAAAAGTAAAATTAGAAATTGCTTCTGAGGATCTTGCCGCTTTAAAGCAAACTCTGAAGTGTTCTCCTCTGGACAAAAAGAAAGTCATTTCCATTTAGTCATGGAGGAAAGAGATTTATCATTTGATTATAAAAAGTTGTTCAATCTCGATTGCAGTAGGAGTATTAAGAAAGAAGGCTTGAGAAAGAAGGTTTGAGAAAGAAGGCTTGAAGATGAAAAGATCCATGGCTTCACTTATTAAAGATTGAACATTGTCAAAACCAGAGCCTTGTTTCATCAAACTTTTTATCAATTGCAAGTGTCCCATTTCTATAACAAATTTGCTCACAGTCAATTTCAAATGCCATGATCACATTTTGAAACCAAGTTTTATGAGATGGGCTCAGGTTATTTATTAAATTTGTTTTATAAATAGGCCATGGAAGCCTTACTTTCGAAGTTTCTATTGAAGCTGTGTGCTTCGTTGGAGAGGGGGGGGGGGGGGGGAATTGTTCATCTATTGTTTGCCTTGATTCATCTGTCATACTCTGTAACATGGCCCAAAATGATGGTATCAATTTCACCCATATTATTCCTTTCTTTTATTCATTCTCTGGGCTAGCCAGAGGAAGCAGGCTTCGTAGAAACTTTGAATAAAAGAGAACTCATGGCAGCCAGATTGTTCCTGACAACGAAACAATGATTGATTTGTAACACAAACGCTCCACAGCCCTCCAGCCATAGGGCCTCATTTCTTTTCCGCGAAGGCCATTCCCTTTCCAATTGTGTAAAAGCACAATGCTCAAGTTTATTAATGCAATACCGGGCGCTGTCAGGAAAAATTTGCCCCCAAGCCGCACTGAGCCCCAGCAGGGGTCGCATGTATGCCCCATTCTTTTTTGAGATCCAAACCGACCAACGTAAAAAAAATGAACATGAAATATGTAGGAATATATACAATCTTTAAACACTAAGCTACGTCCATCCCCATCTTATATTAACTTTGTACAGTTTTGTCGCTAGTAAAAGTTGAGGATCATTTGTACACTCTATATTTGGATGATGTCTGATGAAGAAATCCATGAGAGGAGAAGAGAAAAACAGGAAGGAAGGTGAAGTAGTCTGCCGCTTAAAAGCCAAGCCGAAGATTGGAGACAAAACACTCCACGGCGATGTCGATTGGTGTTTGCAAATGTGCCAATAATGTCTCAAACACTTGTCGCTTTCATTTCCTCTCGCCTGCAGCAATTCTTCCCAGCGCACATGGTAGCCGACCCCAGCGAGACGGCCGATAATTTATTTGAGAAGCCCAAGCGGCCCCGACCGCCATTATTACTGGTGAGTACCTCGTCCGACGGAAAGAGAGAGAGAGAGAGAGAGTCTGTTTTTAGATATGTTAATACTTAACAGTGGTGTGATGCTTTGTATAATCTGATGCATGGCCTCGTTGCGGCTCACCCGACGTAGGAAGAACGTCTCCTGTTGGGGTTCGTTGCCCATCGCTCCCAAGTTTATCGATGAGGATGAATTTTACATGGTCATATGAGCTTGATGTCTCTCCTCTACTCGATGCCTCTATTTCTGTTCTGAATTTCCACATGAGACACAGAGTTCTAAGTATTGATTCGCGAAAGGGAAAACACGTTTGAAAAAACAAGCGAGCTAAAAAAAGATTCCGGGTCAAGATGTAACTGATGCAGTTCATGTTTTCCAGGGTGCTTCTGTTTCTTTTTAATGTCCAGGTCTTATGGGGATGTATTAGTTCTTACAAAGGGCTACGTTTTAAAGACATCAGGGATTTGGAAAATCTATTTATAAAAATGTCTGAGTCCATTATAATTCTAGTCAACATGTGGAAGATTATTTTATTGTTATTTAATAATGTGAAGATGTCTTCATTGTGTCTTTGTATTGTTTGATATACAGTGTACATTTTAAAATCCTCATTGGACTGTGCCTATGTATCAAAATTTATTTGTCATATGTTTAAGATATGAGCTCTTCATATATGTAAAAGCCACCTGTCTAAGAAATCTCTAGCTTTCTCTCCATAGAAAGGAAGGTATATTGTAAAGCCTGTCTACTGTATAGAAAGACTGTATGTTTGTAACTCTGCCTCACATTCACATAGAGTTTGTCGATCCATTGTATAACCACTTTGCTTCCAAGACATGCCATGACCCAGTTTTTGTCCTGAGGTTATTTTGACGCCTCTGGGGATGCGGCCCCCTTTGCCTCCCAATCCAGTGTAGAGAAATAAATGAGAAAGAGAGAGAGAGAGAGAGAGAGAGAGAGAGGGGGGAGAGGGAGAGAGAGGGGGGAGGGGAGAGAGTGAGAGAGAGATAGAAAGAGAGATGAGGGAGAAAGAGAGGGGAGAATGAGAGAGAGAGAGAGAGAGAGAGATGAGGGAGAGAGAGGGGGAGGGGGAGAGAGTGACAGAGAGAGAGAGAGATAAGCTGTGCACCCCCCCCCCCTATACTTGTGCCCTCCCGATATCTAGACTGGCATCACATTAGTCGTACAATATATAAATATGTGAATATGATATGTTTCATAAGAGAGGATGATGTTATCATACATGTACATGTATATTAATGCAGACATTGAATCGTTCTTTAACAGGACATGCTGAGCCCAGTGGAGACTCTACCAGAGATCCAGGGCTGGCTTCACATCAGGGAGGGCCACAAACGCTCCTGGAAGAAACACTTCTGTGTCCTCAGGGAATCAGGACTCTACTACTCCTCCAAAGGCAGTTCCAAGGTAATGGTCCTAGTCCTCTTTCAGTTCCTAGACCTTGTCACTGCAGTATAATTTTTTTTTCAAGTCAAACCCTGACACTGGTTCAAAACCCTGTGCTGCATAGGAAAGGGTTCAATAAAGTTACCAGTAACAGGTTTAAAAATATTTTTCAATCCGAAATTTAGAATCGTATGCGACTATTTTCCAAAGCCTTGACCCGTTAAATACTAAGCCTGCGATGACTGGAGCTGAAGTCAACGACGAGAATGAATGTTATATACGTGAAAGTGGGCCACACTGGCGAACCTCTTGATACCTGGCATACTCAGGGTATAGAAAGACTGTTCCATTTGTGATTTTTCAAGTCATCTTCATTGTTATACACATACTTTATACCATAGTTATCATCTCTGTCCCCTCTCTTTCTCCCAACAGGACCCCAGACACCTGAATCACTTTGTGCAATTGAGTAACATTGAAATCTACCGGGCATTGAACCCTAAGAAGAAGTACCACGCGCCCACCGAGTTCATGTTCTGTACCAAGGTGAGTGAGTGAGGGCAGTGTTCAACGTTTTTTAACACTTTCCTTAGAATTACCCATAGAATGGCAAGACTCTTGAAATAAGGTCTTTATGACATGCTGTAGAACTCTTTTTGGGGATGATTGGATGATTACAAATAGACTTCTTTGTTTCAGTGTTCGTCGTACTGATGAAAGCATTGCACACTGTAATATTGTAGACAGATTCTTGAGATCCTGAAGACACTACTACACATAGGTAGAGCTAATAGTTCTAAATATATTTAAAACAAATATTTGAGCCAAATATCAGCCATATTTAGGGCTTTTTTCTGAGCAGCAATATTCATTTTATTACACACATTGAAAGAAGGTTTATTTTTGCATATTTCTTTGAGACTACTATTGTATATGTTTGGAACATTCCACAGAAGGAGAAAAGGTGATCGATGTAGTCTTTGACATAATTCCTGTTGAGAAAGGGATGAAATTCATCCCCAATTTTTTTTCCTTCTATGAATTAGACCAAGAACTCCAAATTCAGTGCAAAGGACTTGAGATTACTGTGTGCCGAGGACGAGAAGACACGACAGTGCTGGCTAGCCGCTCTGCGACTCTTCAAGCACGGCGAACAGCTGCTGGAGAACTACCAGAGGGCGCTCGAGAGAACCATCAAGACGAGGGAGGAGTGCCAGGAAGTCTTATTACAGGTACGGACAACAATGCATCTTTTCTTTAATAAAAACATGTCTACAGCGACCGCCTGAAGGAAACAAAAAGTGGTCTTTGTAGACAGGTTCCTTTATTTGTACATGTTTAAATGAGAACCCATTTTCGAGAGAAACAAAAATGTGGTCCTTGTAGAGCAGGTTTGACTGTAAAACGGTGAATTCAAAAACTAGGTGACTAGAAAGAAACGTTTTTGGGAAAATGTTTTGAGATCTTGAAAATACTAAGGCAAAAATATCTACCCTTCCTCAAATTTCTATCCTGGATAACTCGTTGGCTGCTTGCAAGATCTAGCAAGCTGTAACAGCTATGTATGGTTAATGGCAGTATTGGCCTTGCAAGCAGCGCACAAAATATCTATTCATATCTTTTTAATTGGCAAATAACATGATCTTCCAGGAAAATGTATTGTTGCCAATGCACTGTCCTGGATAAGTTAGGGTATTAGTCGTGAATGCACCTGGGCCCCGTTTCATCAGACTTGTCAATGACAAGTTAAAATAACTGTAATAGGCTACTGAAATCATGGCATTTGATTGGCTGAGAGCAAATTTGCCATGGAAATTTAACATTTGTTATTGATAGCAAGTTTTATCGAACAAGGCCCGGGACCATCGTGAAACAATGATGATGCGGAGTGAAACTGACCATTCTCATGGCTTTGTCTTGTTTTTAGAACATGAAGAACTGTTCAGACCGTGTTGCAATGGATTTCTCTGGGACGCAAGGACGGGTTATCGACAATCCCAGTGAAGCCATCGCCATCGCTAGGCAGGAGGAGTTCAACTGGAGGGTAAGACTTCTTTACATTCTTATACAATGGAACCTGTCTATAAAGACCACCCAAGGGAGACAAGAAAAAGTGGTCTTTATAGGCAGGTGGTCTTTCTATATAGGTGGTTGCTAAAGCAGGTTTTACTGTACAATCAGTAAACGATAAAGAAAATGGTTACACCGAAGCCTCTTTCAGACATGAAAAGTTAAAATGCCTCCAAACAAAATTCTTGTGGTTAAGTAAAACAATAAAATTGTGTGAAAGTGAAGGCAAGTTTGGATTAAAAAGTGTAGATGTACATATTAAATGCCCTTCAACATACTCACGTGTAGAGATAGAGATCTGCAAAGTACGCTGTATTCGTGCCATTTTAGTTCACTCTGGCTGTTTTCTTGAAGGTGGTTCTCCAAGCGTGCGAAATGTGAATCAGTAATATGGTGAAAATCATACTATCTAAAGTTGTCAGCCAATTTAGGTCAGACAAATTAATTTGGCATGATGTGCATTTGCTTCTAGGCATTTCTACTCTGTTTTATATTTTTTAGTATTCCATGACTCCAGTAGAATTTGAAATGGATGACTAAGATCTTCAGCTATTGTTTCTTTCTAAATATATTTATATGGGATTCCCAAAGTGCGTTGATGGACCTCCTTTATCAAAAAAAAAATCCCCCCTAATTGTTTATTTCTAGGTAAATAGTATTCATAAAGTGCATTTGTGGACCTCTTGAACCAAAAGTCCCCTGTGATCTTTTAAGAAAACATCCTGCTTTATTAGCACCTTTCATTTCGCACGTTCTACTTTGTACAAAATATTATGCAAAAAGATCATGTGGCAGTGACCTAACCCAAAAGAAATATAAACAGTCTTTATAAGTGGTATATGAAATGAAACAATCAACATACAACTACGCTTATCTGGTCCAATCTTGAATCGAAAGCTAGATATTTGGCTTCATGTCTTGGCTCCTTGTAAATCGATAGTTTGATATGAAAACATTTAGATGTAAATGTTTTTAAAGATGAAGTAAACAAGATTGTGAAGATGAGAAAGTGAAACATAATGTGAGAGGCATGTGAATTGAAAGAGAGGTATATGGAAGAACTCAAATGATACAAAAAACTATGTTAGTATTAAAAATAGTACATTGTTCTTATTTATGGTCAAAGTGCTTTTCAGGAAAGGAAAACAGTTACCGGTATATGGAAGAACTCAAATAATACAGAATAAGTACATTGTACATTAGTGTGCAGAATAGTGCATTTTTCTGCAAACATTCATATATGTGGAAATGCTTTTCAGTAAGGGAAAACAGTTTTTAAACGTAATGCTCCCTTTAATTTTGTCTTGTTGACTGCTGAAGGCCATCTTCATTTGTTAACGTGATAAAATTATTTGATGTACCGTATGACAACTCATTTAAAGAAATATGTACCATTATTATTCATTTGCATTATTCTTTGTGGAAAAATTGGCCCTTGCCCACATCTATTTTTTAGCACTGCTATCAATAAAACATTCAGATTGATAGTGGAGTCGTGTTTGAATTTGAACTTTTCTTCATATTTTTTGTATTTTGGTAATGGAATGTCGATTTCATGATTATTTTTCTGTTGTGTTTTTACAGAGACGGGGTGGTCAGCGGTCGCTGGACAGTCCTCTCATAAGCCCCCGAGTGACGACCAGCAGCCCACGCTTCAATTTCCCTCCGTCATCCGGGGGCTCCAACAGCCCCCACTCCCAGCTATCCAGCAGCCCCCGGCACAACAACCCCAGCCCTCGAAGCCATCACAACACCAGCCCTGGGGCTTGCAGGAGGGGCGGCATCAACTCAGGTAAGAGGGGAACCATGGGGGTAATGATTTGGTGGGGCAGGTGGGTGTGGCAGAAGTGGACAGGAAGTTCTTGGTAGTTGAAGATTTATTAACAAGGCGTTCCTCAGGCAAACCATTTTATTAACAGTCATCGCTATACACCCATGTGTTATATAGATACATATACGATACTTTGTAGTAAACGCAGTGGAGTATATTCATATAGTAGCTGCTCTATTGTAATAGACCAGGGGGATGTTTCACAAAGCCTAAGATCGGCAGGCAATTCATGCCACTGTTCATTCTCACCATTTGTCTCTCTATTATGATCTTTAGATAATATTTCTTCCTTCAATGATGAATTATCAAAAATGCTCAATTCTGTAGATGTGTGACCATGATTTCTACGTCCCTTGAAAGACCATTGTCAGTAGATGGTGAGAGAAAACAGTGACATGAACAGCCTGCCATAGTGATGTCCTACTTAAAGTCAATCTTAGTCTTTGTGAAACACCCCCCCCCCCCCTGTTATTATTGCACAATTTGTATTCACTGCAAGCACATTACTCCTTCTCTGCTTGTTATCTCTCTAACCATTTAATTTTACATTTTCTTTTTGCAGGTATTCACATGACTCAGCCGTGGTTCCACAGCGGACTGACGCGAGATGAGACACATGCCCTCTTTGCCAAGCAAGGCATGGTGGACGGGATGTTCCTGATCAGGGAGAGTCAACGGATTCCAGGAGCGTTCGTCCTCTCATTCAGCCACAATCAGAAGGTCAAGCACTATCAAATCAACATGGTAAGTAAAAGTAGAAGCAGGGATTTTGTTTCTGGGTAGCTCTAAAAAAATTAGTGGAAAACTTGAGAGGTCTGTCAAAACAAACACAAAAAACAAGCAGACATGAAAATTTTTACCAACCATTTACCTTATCCTAATCCTACCTAAGCTGAAATGTTTGTCGCCCTCACCTCTACCCTTATGCTTTGAGGAAATAAAGCTTGGGTCGAATGTTTGGTCACTAGTGAAATATCTTACGGAGAATTTTCAAAACTACAAATGGTGTGCCCAAATGAATGTGAAATTGAAATTAGATTGAAAATTTTCAGCAAAACATTTATTGAAATGAATTGTTGAAATCTTTATGTTTCTGTTTCATTTTTATTCAGGTTGAAGATGGCGTCTACACGATAGACGACGGCGGGACACGCTTCACCGACCTCATTCAGCTCGTGGAATTTTACCAGCTCAACTCGGGAGGGCTCCCTACAAGACTGTTACACATCTGCACAAAACTGTGAACGGGATTGCCTGCCTGCCACGCCCCAAATCTCTTGCAATTATTTGATTGAAGATTTAGAACAACGAAAGACGTATATATATATTCTGTGGAAGATATTATATGGATGTACTACTTGTCAGCAATGTTTGCTTATTTAAAACTTGTGATGTATACTTTTTTTTTAACGAAAAGGAAGCTGTACCAGCTCTTTTTAACAACAGTGCGGCAGCCGCTGCTTTTTCGAGAGGTGTCTGATACGGGGCGCAACGTCGTGCCCTTGAAGATGCTAAATTTATTCTTGTGGTGGTGGAATAACATCGTGAACACGGATGAAGAGTTCTTGCGAATTCTAAAAAGATGTTTGACTTTTGTAACGTTCTTTGGATTTTGTGGATGTAATGGCCGACAAGTGAACCATAGCAGTATTGAGGATACGACGACGGACGCTTTTTTTTAATCGTACTTCTTTGACGGAGGTTTGAACGCGAGAAAAAGGACTCGGAGTGAATTCTCATCTTCATGATCATGGAAATGATGGCAGCGATATTTATCTCTTGATGCTATCTCTGCAATGCTGGTCTCAAGATATATTCTTCAAGCCTTCTATTGGTGATGGGAAAACAACGTATTCTATATTTGTTATCGTGATGGTGGATATGTATTACTGGCTTATTCTATAAAGTCAACTATTGATGGTTAACTGATTGGAAACAACTGTTGGTGATGGAATCCTTTGTGAAAGGATGCATAACAAAGATAATTATTAATGTATGAATCATTCTCTTTGTAGTAATAGATCGAATTCAGGAAAAAGAAATGTGTGGGGTTAATATTCCTCACTATGTGATGGTGTTTATGACTATAAAACTATCCTCTATTTATTGGTTAAATGGTGTTATTTGTGAAACTTAGAAGTCTTTTTTTCCAATGACATGTACCATCTGTTTTTACAGTATACAAAGCGGTAGTCTGGCCTTATAGACTAAAGGATACTAGTTTGGTATCAGATTTTAAACGTCCAAAATATGGTGGAAATGATACTGATAAAAAGTATTTTTCTTATTTTTTGTTTACAATTCACACAATTAAGTGTGAAGCAGTATCACAAACTCTTTACAGCCTAACATGCAATGCACAAGTATTTAAAAGTTCTTTTTGAAACTTCATCAGAATAATATCCTTGTTTGACATGCTTGCATTTGAATATCTTTTTCTATGTAAGTTGTGGCAATTGTACTTATCAAGTTTTTCTTAAGCTCTCGATTCTCGTTGAGAAAAAAAATCCTTCATCTATTTGAGAGGGGAGTGTCCATTGACGACGTCACGACCGTGACATATTAATTTTCATATCTTTGGTTCTTCAAATTTGAATCTATAAGAAATGCTCAAATTGACAAATTTGCTCTCAGCCAATTAGATGCAATGATTTCACTGAGTAGCTTGTAAGAGTTATTATATCTTGTTATTGATAACAGGTTTGATGAACTAAGGCCCTGGTGGTGGGTTTGGATAAGACATTCTTTGATTGTTCATCGGAAAGAAAATAATTCAAAGAAATTACTAGACAGATTTCATTGGTGCTGTTATTGTACTATTATGTTTGTGTTTGCGTAACCTGATATATTCATATCGTGACTTACATGTTACTCTCAAGATGTCACAAGTCCAAAACATGATTGACTTTTTTTCTTCATCTGCGGCATTGAACGGGTGTAACTAATATCACATGCACATTGCACACTAAGGATCCAGACAATAAGAACCCGTTCCCATTTTTCATTGGGCGTGTTTTGTTTTATAGTGCACATCACTTTCCCTAATGCATATGACATAAGTGACAAATATATAGGAAGATTGATTTCTATTTGTTGGCTTTGAAACTAATGTTAGAAACTTTCGATTCCTCTGTCGCTTTTTCCTGCACACAGATTGTTGTTAACATATGCACAGCACATGGTACTTTGCTGATAGAGATTTGTAATTTTAACGTTGAAGGTTTTATTAACACATGTAAACATACATATTCATGGGTAACTTGATAAACGTGAGATTCTTGAGCTGACATCCTCTTTGATTAAAGACAGCCCCATTTGCATATCCATTTTCAATCGATTTGAACCCCAAGAATATTCTTGAGCTTCATTGCGAAGGATTAGAAATGGGAAGTTAAGCTTTAAACAGTCTCATTTGTGCCATCCTAAAGCTGAGAATCTGCTCTCGTAGCAAGGTGTTGAAACTCTAAAGCAAAAAGTGAATCGTTGTTACTTAGAATGCAACAATAAGCTTGTATGATAATAAAATTCAGCTTTTATATAGCGTTTAATACATCAACTATCTTTCTAAGTGTTTTACAGATATAATATTTCCAGGTCATTGGATTCAGGCTTGCCCGCACACAATCCATGCACATTCTCCACTCTCTGGGGAGCATATCATTATAGTACTCTTCTGTATGCACCCAATTGTACCTTTGCACTCTGTCATATTTTCTGTTTGAACTGATAACGTGAGCAGTTTACTGCTTGATTTCACGGTTTGAGAACAAGTCAGGAAATTTATGACGACAGCACTAACCATTGCCATAGGAGATTCAACTCACCAGTTGACTACAAAGTCCAAGAAAGGAATTAAATGTCCCATTTTTTCTTTATGAAATTTGGTTAACTATTATTTGTCTTGTGTGTAAATACATGGTCTACAATCGAGACATTTTATCAAATATAATTTGTAAAAGACATTCTTGCAAACTAGTGTATTTCACAAAAATCATGGCAATTTTTCCACTTTGTCATAAATCTGGTCACTATCTGTTTTAGCCAATTACACCCTTTTGTATCAACTTATTTTTATGTACAGGGGGTATGTAGTATGAAACGCCAGTGAAATAATCAAGCAGCATAATGCAAGGTATCACTTTTTGTAATATGGTCGTCATGCTTGCTTTTATGATATATCTTCACTTTAAAGTATTCTTGTCAATTGCTTGTTGTTGAATTTTGACCCATCTTGCTGTCCATAGGGAGATGGAAAGGATTTTTGACACGTCCCGCCGTCCATAGTGAGATGGATAACATTACCTCTCTCATCATGACTTTGTCAATGAATCTAGGTAGCGGCCTATGTGTTGCACAATTCCTAAACACCAAATAAATGTATTTTGATGATTATTGATAGGGACAAGTCCCTTTTTAGTGTTTAAAAATTTATTGAAATGATGATGCAATCACTATATTTAATCTCACTCAATCTGATTATAACTTATGGAAAAGAAGTATTTTGTAATGATGTTGAAAAGATACCTTGTGATTTATATTGTATAGTACATGTAGATGTTCCTATTTTGCTCTTGAATGTGAGAGCGATATTTTCAGGGCTTGCTATTGGGTGCTTTTTTCTTTCTTTTAGAATTCTCATTTTTGGACAAGGGATCTGCATTGCATGGTTACCATAATTACTGTAATAAGGTCTGCCATTTTTTCCAATGCATTCTTTCTTTTTGAAATGCCTAACTCCATCTTTGAGTACTTGGAGTTTGGGTCGAGTGAAAAGGTTAATAATTAAACAAATCTTATTACAATCACTTTAACAAAATATTAATATTGTATAGAATGGGAGCAAAGTGAGACAGACCCTGTGATTTTTCAAGGAACTTGTTTTAAGCAAATTTGTTATATAAATGAGATACCATGAATGTTATTAAACCTTTGGCCCAATATGGCTCTCAAACGGCCTGTTGTAAACATTGGCATCAGAATTTAGGGCACAAGGATGAGAAAAGGTACAGACATTTTTAAAGTAATGGTAGGGAAAGTTCTTGCAAGTAACCTTTAACATTTCCTGCAAGTGATATAAAATATCCTCTTTATACAAACTGATCCTAGTTGCAGTAGCCAGCCATGCAGATTTTAATTCTTATATTCTTTTGCTTTCTTGTCCGAGTTGTATTCTTGTATTCATCATCTGGCCATCCTTTCTGGTCAGTAATGTTTTGATATTTTCCTTTCCATTACTGTAATTGATTTTGTTTTGATAACTTTTGATACTGTCATTATGAAGGAAGGTGTGACCTTTTTATAAATAGAAAAAGAATTGATTTAATATTATTATGTCATGTGGTGTACCTAGGGTACATGAATATTCTTATTTATGTATTTTTGTTTGGCGTTAAGTTAACAAATTATGGGTCAAGTATTGTTGAGAAGTATATAGATATTTTTCTCTTTAAGTTTTTTTTTTTCCTTCTTCTTTTTGTCATCATCGCTTGGATCTATGAAAGATTCTTTTTTGTTTTCTTCATTTTCTTGACATGGGTATAAAGATTTATCTTTTCACTGTACTAATAATGACATCATTTTGCTCTGTATATTCTGTACAATGAATATCTTTCTATATATATTGTTTATAATAGTCAAAAGCTGACTAATGTTGCGGTAGTTTTTATACATGACTTTATTCCTTTCGTTGTTACACTGCCATGTGTCAAGTATATATTTTATAAGTGTACTTTTTAAAGAATTGTAAGTTGAAAATCTTGCACCTATCCGTGATATTGGTGGATGGGGTCGCTCTCTCTCTCTCTCTCTCTCTCTCTTTCTCCCTTCTGTCAATCTCCCTAGATCCTTTATAGCCTTGACCTTTCAACTTTCTTCTCTATCATAAACACTGTGCAAGTTCGTACTGTAAGAAATGTATTCAAGATGAAAAAAATCATATTTGGAAAATATTGTCCTTATACAGGTATATCTATTTATCCCACCAGTATATAAACAGACTTTTATATGAAAAAAAATGAAGAAAAGTTGTTTTGAATTCTTCTAACTACAGAGTATTGCTGTTTAAAACAGACATTTGTTGAAGATAATGTGAATTTCTTGGGAATGTAGTGCTGGGAGAGGGATTTCCGAAGGTTCAGACGCAGGCTGTGTATCGCGGCTTCACAGAGTTGGATTTGTTTATTTTTTTCAATGGTATGATGGCATTATTGACTGCATAAAAGGTTTATGATTAAAATGCTAAAAAAGAAAGAGGCACTATGTAAAAAAAAAATTATACTGTTTATTGCTGACTTTGTACGTGTGTGTATCGTCTTTTCTGTAATCACTATGAAGCGAGTTGTTTGCAGCAGTATGCGAGGGCGTGTGAGGTTGGTATCGGACTGAAAGATATACAGAAACTATTTTGAGATGAGGTGAAGACAACATAAATGGATGGAAATGCTAAACGGATGGAAAGTACAATAGTGAGTGCTCTTTGTAAATTTTGAAAGAATGGATGATAGGATTTGCAAATAAAGAAGAATTTAACCGAGAAAAAGGCTGATAATATGAGACTGAGAGCTGGAAAGGAAGCTTACATAATTTGTTAATTTCTTGTACACACAAAGAAAAACCACATACAATACAATCATTTAGTGGATCTATATTGAGTCTATATTGAGTAATTCATTACATAAATATATTCACAGCCATTTATATATGAGAGTTAAAAACTAGAATAATAAAAAAAGATATAATGGAATATATAGTGCAGTTGTAAAATAACAAATAAGCATCATCTATCATCCTACATAATTAAACACAAATATTTCTACAATATACATGTATCTCTTTATCACAATGAATATAAATACATTATTAAAACTTACAATGATTAACTTTTTTTTTTTTTAAATTACACATCTTGAATGAACTATTTAAGTAAAATGATACATAAAACAACATTATCTACTTCCCCTCAAAATAAATTGAGATTTTCTGCATATTATTATATCTATATTTCACAATGTTAATAACTTAAACCAAATAAACCTAATACCGTACTGCATAAGATACAATGTACACTGCCCTCTACAGTGTTTTAAATAATTTTAATTAAAATTTTGCAAAGAGCACCACATAGGAATAGACTAGAATTGTACATATAAACTGTTCGATGTCTTTAGAAGATTTCTCCATCTCTCTATTAACATGAAAATCTTAAAACATAGAAAAATATCTGAATCTTGAATCTAGAAAATATATAATGATATATGGACTGCACACACCTGCTGGGGTTTTCTATATTGCACATTCCCCCTTTCGTACAAGACACCATAAATTCCACAGTGTAGGTGCTCTAACCACACAAATTCAACAGAACACTGAGTTGGCGGAAAATTACGTTTTTTTCTTTCTTAATACATGTTATTGATTTCTCATGGTTTAAAATTGCATTTAAAGTTGGGTTTTGCTGAGGTGAAGAAATAATGCCTCCTTAAAAAGGATTGCTCTTTAAATAGCCTCAAACTCGAAATACCCGTATGACACAAAATGGGTAAAACGTTTGGACTAAACTTTATGCCACATGCGTGTTTAGTCCCACATACCTATTCCTTTGAAAGTGCTTGTGACTTTCAGCATTCCTTTTTTTTATTATGGTGATTCCAAAAAAATCAGAGTTATTATAATTATTATGTGATTCAAAATCATCCTTCCCCCTATCGCTTCAGTACTGGCAGTTTCTTTCACAGAACTCAACTTAATCTTTATATAGAGGCAGAAAAGCATAAATAATTATTACATACTTTGCATAATTAACATAACATATTATAGTTCTGAATGAAATATTTAATTATATCTATAATTTCTATGTATGCTGCCATTTAAAATGAACTTTGCATATCTGTAAATATTCGTTTTAATATTCAGTTGTAAATAGATTATTCGTTGGATGATTCTGTGCATGTCCAGCATGCATTACACACATTTATTAACTAGGTTTCTGCATCAAAATTATTCACACGATTTCTATGTTTTGGTGCAAAAACAGCTAATTTCCATCTAAACTTACATAATTTTGGTGCATTTAGCTTTCTCAAATATGGTGAAAACAAGCAAACAAATTATATCACACACAACTATATTGACGAAGTGAGTGTCGGTTGCTCTTCTGTTTTTTTAAACTGGGCCACAAAGAAAATTCAAAGTCCCAACAGGCAGTTCAGGGAAAATAGACAATTAAAAATGGCCATGATGATAACAAGTACATTCATGATCTGTTAATGCTAATTCAGTTAAAGTTCTTCAATAATACATTACCGGTAAGTTCTAGAGAAAACTAAGATCTATAAATAGCTCTACATATGTACAACTTAAAAGGGATACATATCAAAGATTATGCCTAATGTTTTACCTCTTGCTAAAATAATGTTGGAATAAAAAAACACCTGGGAGGGTATTTCGAGCATGATTTTATCTCTAAGTAATCAGTATTCTGAGACCACTTTTTTGTTAAATCTCTCGGATACGCAGTAAGACTAATGATTTCTAAGACAACATTCTTGTCGGGTTATCGATTTGTAATTCAAGATTTGGGCCGACTTATATCATACTTGAAATGAGGCTTTTAAAGGTGTTATAAGCCTCTAAAACTATCTTGGTTATTTTTCAGAGAAATCCTAGCAAAATCACATTTGCACTTTAGAGGCACAAGTAGTAAAAATTTTAAAAATTATGCATTCATGCTTTATACTGGCAGAACGCGATTCTATTGGCTGAACATGAAGAGAGCAAAATCTAACAACATTTCTTATTGGTTATCGCATTACAAAGAGGCATCTCTTGGAGAGATAATATCGACAAAATGATTTTAAAATGATTTTAGAGGTATTTTATCCAACTGAAAATGAATCTCAGAATACCGCCCTTGGTTCCCATCTTAAAGAGTTGAGATTGATCCAAATTGATTGCAACCTGACAACTACAATTGCAAATCTGAACAGAGATAGAGATAGAGATAGATAATAGAGTGCCAACATCATACTTGCTTGTCGTGCAGGTTAATGGTTCAATACAACTGAACCTTTGCATGAGGTTCACCGCAAAATCATTGAAGCAACAGGCTGGAGCAGGGCGATTTTCAGTGTTTGGGCCTGGCAGGTATGATCACCACACCATTTCTTAACACAAAATTGTTGGGAGACAGCAACCTTGACAACTTGGCCATTACAACATCTCACTTCGGTTCTCTAATGTAACTCTTCGATTGATTGGAGGACTTACACTCGACCAGGATCAATCACAACTCTTTATAAGACAGAGCCAAGATTCCTTGTACATGAAAGGCGCCTGATTAGCTTGATCAAGGTGATTTTGAATAACAGTTGCATCTATTTCAGCCTGAGTATTAAAAAAATGATAGTAATAAATAACAGAACCTGAAGAAGGCCTCACAAGCCGAAAGCTTGTAATAAAATTGTAAAGTACAGCTACGTCTCACGTTCCTAGACCATTTTCTTCACTCCTACATATTCTGGAACACCCGTTGTCATGTCAGAGTTGAGAATTCTCGCACTTTTATATATATATATATATATATATATATATATATATATGATGATCATATGGAATTTATAATGTTATTAAGGCTTGAACTAGACCAAATATCACAGGGAAAATACTCTTTACCGGTATATTTCATTACTCTGATACTCAGTAAAATATGGGACATAAAATTAACTACATATCATTGCTTGGAATCTGTCACCCAGTTTCAAAGCCATACCTATAAAGTAGCATGAGTGAATTACATGTACATGTATATTTTTGGAACACATATTAAAACAAGGTGAATAAACACACTTCATCTATGGACATAATATCATTTCATACTTGTGAATGAGTGCAGAACCAAAACAACTTCTAATACAAATAGATGAGTTGATTCTGAATTTATATAATACTTTGGAATGCAGCTAAAATAAAAATTGAATATTAAAACTGAATTATGCAGCATCTTTGGATCCCCCTATTGAACAAACTTCACTGAGTTTAAATTGCATTTCACGCCATTATGAATGCATGTAATTGTAAAGAATTCCTGCTCCTTGCGATGATTTTTAAAGCAAGAAAAAAAATGCATAGTTCTCAGCAGCCCGGCAAGCACTGGTATTTGGTTCCTTTTTGTTTGAATTTGGTGAAATGGATTTGCCAGTACCCCAGGGGAAATACATTGTAAATAGTTGTTTTTTCTTGGGGGGGGGGGGGGTAAACTACGGATTGGCATTTGTATTAACTGTGTCTATACCTGTGTCTCTTTATGCTTGTCAGTTCTCTTTAATAAGGGGGATAATTTACCCATTTTAAAATCTGTTGTGCCCTGTAGGAGAACTAAGTGCGTATTTGAGTCCTAGCTGCATGTAACGTATTAGTCATACCTACCACTGAAAGACACATACACATGTCACAACTCACATACTTTATCTTCTCTTGGGTTTTCAATCTTGGACTTTCAATCTGGGGTTTTCAATCTTGCGAGGCACCATGAATCTTTTTCAGCACTTCCGCATCTATGTAAGCAATTATACCTCCTGAGTTACTCCACTTCTGACCTTCCGATACAGGTTCCTCGGAATCGGGTTTATCATACTTCAGACCAGCGCTCGCCAGAAAATTTCCGTTCTCTGCGTCGGTGCTCGATGACTTCCACTTTTGGTAGTCGACGATGCCTCCCCCGAGAGATTTCAGAATAGCTTGAGGTCCGCAGGTATCCCATTTGAAAGTGCTCCCTTTGGTGAGAATATAGGCATCTACGTGTCCCTCGATCACACATAAGATCTTGTACCCTGCACCACTGGCAAAGTGGACTCTTCCGAGAGATGAAAATGCATCCTTCGTGTGGGCTTCCTCACTTGCACTCATGGTGAAGGCTAGTCCATTTCTAGATATAGGGGTGGTAGAGCTGCCCTGGGAGGAGAGGAGAGAGTTGCAATGGAAGTCTCCATGGCTTACACCCCAGAAGGAATGGCCTGTCCAACTAAAAGTGGGAAGTTCCAAGGAAAAATAGAATTTAAATGTTGGTTATATCTACAGTCAAATCATAAAATTCACATTTCACGAGCAAATAAAGTCTTAATATTATAACAATTCGACAGTGCACTCTGTCTATCAGTTCGCTTCTGTTGTGCTGTTTGACACAATGGCATTTGTACATATAACACCAGAGTGAGAGGTAGGGGCTGTAATGCAACGACATAACTTAAATAGCTTTTAAAAGTAGTAGTAATATTTTAGCTGACTACTAAGAAAGCATGTGTAGAATTGCAGATACCGGAGCAACTAGTGGACAAAGAGCTTTATCGTTGCTCAATATTCAGATTTTAGACATTATGTACCTAAATATATTTATTCAGATATCATGCAATTGTATTCTGAAAAATTCAGTGAAGTTTCCTTTGATTTCATGAGAATGTCTGTAATAACCAGAACTCAAAATAACATCAAACAACTTTCCCTCCTACCTCTTCGATTCTGGATCCTGCTTAGAAAAAGGCTGATTTACGACACCCAAGACTGGTGATCCTGTCTCGCGATGAAAGGCACCTATCAGGATTACAGCACACTGGAGTCCATGCCAATATACACCACTCTTTGGCTCTTCATCCTCAATACCCTTGATGTACTCTGATGTGCTATCTGTGTGCAATATATAAATGGTTTATTCATGTATACATTTCATACATAACAGGGGTGTTCACACCTACAAAAAAAGTGAGATTTAAAAATTGATTTTTGTATCGCAATCCAAAAATCTGGGGGTTTTTTCTGCGTGTGTGGACAGAATAATTTCACTAATCTTCATGATTCACATCGCGATCCAACTCGCAGTGACTCTTGCGATTTTTCAGAATAATAATGATAGTTTGCCGGGCGCAGTGTGCGAATGGTATTGAGAATCAAAAATCTATTTATTTAATCCCAGGATTCCAAGAGTGCATACATCGTCGAGATTCTCGCATGCGCAGTTTGGACGTTCTTGCCATCGTGTGTAAATGGTCGCAAAAAAAAAAAATCTTTGCAAAGTAATTTGAAAACATATCTATTTAGCACTTTGTAAGATCTCAAAATTATAAACCCAGTGTACTATTTCTACTCCTTCTGTATTCTGTTCTGTAAATTGCCAAGAGACATGCAATTATGCGCTATACAAAAATATTTAATTTCTTTTATCATTATCATTATTATTACATAATAATTATTGATTGGACATACATGTATAAAGTAGAAGTGATATTTTTTAAAGGATCAACATTTTATATTTTTATTGGCAAATGGAGTAATATATAGTATATAATCTACAGTAATACTCAATAAAAGAGATAATTGAACAGTCACATCAAGATGCGCTTGAACTCCTTGGAACCTGGGGGTTGGCTAGACCATTTTGAATGGGAGGCGTAACTACCTCGCATTTCTACATTTGAAGACAGATGTTCAAATTCTTTTCCATCAAGCAAAAAGAGAAGGAAACAAAATTATCATTATGAGATATGCAAAAACAGTCAAACCTGCTTTAGTGACCACCTGTCTACAAGGACCTCATTTTTTGTTTCCCTTGAAAATGGTTTTACATTGAAACATGTACTAAAGGAACCGGTCTACAAAGACCACTTTTTGTGTTTCCCTTGGATGGTCACTGTAGACAGGTTTGATTGTATTAGCCTTCGAAAATGCAAAATAAATAAATACTAATAGATAGTAGTGTAGGGGGTGTTATATGCCCCCCCCCCCCCCCTCCTCCCCTTCAACAGCCCCACTCTTGTCTAGAGAAGCCGCTGTAACCTCATTACCTATTGGATCGATCCAGATTCCTATACTATCCATATCAAGGTCAAAGTTCAGATCTTGGAGCCGTGAATCCAGCACCGTATCAGGGGTCGCGTGCAGGGCCTCTGCCAGCAGGGCTGCAGCTTCCTGGTTCTCATCCAGTACCTTGGTCAGGAGGAGCTTGGTTTCTTCAGGGGTCGATTGGATGGTGACCTCGACGCTCTCACCGGCGGTGTTGGTAAACATGTTGCTTTCCTCTCCTAAGATGTGGTCCCTCATACCTGGGAACTAAATGGGTTTGGTTGTGGTGGTTATTTTACCTGACTGCTAAGAAAGCATAAATGCTTGTTAGTAAGCAACCAGACGGCCGACGGCTTTAGGTCCTCTCCGAGGGACCTAGTAATGAGGATCAATGCCAAAGGACACTGATGGGAGGAAGGAATTCTGTTACTGTCAAACTAGAAAATTCTTTATTTTCGTGTGCAAAAAATGTTCGTGAATTTTGAGAGTATTTCAGATTTGTGAAAGTTTCATCCCACCGAATAATTTTATCACAATTGACAAAACAATAAATGTTTGCAATTCATGAAAGTTGCTCACTGTGAAATTTTCCTGCCATGACAATTCACGAAAATATCATGTTGAGAAAGTTTAGGATTTTACAATAATTTTGTATGCGAACCTAAAGTGGAATTCTGAAATTATTTCATCTTGATTTTAGCGAAATGTTTTAGTGGTTTTAACAACCTACCGTAGGCTTTACGGTGCATCACTGGTTAATGTCTGCACATACGTGTAGAATTGAATTAATTCATTCATGGATGACATTTGCACAATGAACAGTTACAATTTTTTTTTAAATTATGAATATTAAAACAATGCTACTAAAAAAAATGACACAATTTAAAGAATACCAGACATGAAGATTAGTTATCAAGGGATGCTGTTCAAGATTCAAAGGTCCTTTCTAATAATGCTCATTTGACCTTTGTTTAAAATACTTGTCCAAACAATTACTCTATTAAGTGCCCTGCAGAGGGGCACAAAGCTGCAAATAAATGATAAAAGAGCATGCAGGCAACAATTCCTTTTATAACTGCATCATGCATGGACATTCATTCAAGTTATCTATGTGCGTGCCTTGACTCGTCTATCCACAAGTCTAGTTTAATGCGAGTGTAGTGTAGTTTGGGTATTAAGTTTTTGAAATGCCTCTTTATTAATTTTCAAAGTAATGTTTGAAGCCAATATTTTGAATAAAATTTACCAGCATGAGGCCCAAAACATACAGAGGCAAATATGTTTCCGTCTTGGTCCGCTCTAACAAATAAATTAACCTTTTCTCCTACATCATGCTTGATCATCTCCTGGATGAGGACATCCCCGAGCGTCTTGAAATCATGAACAAATCTCTTGTTCTTAGCTTCACCTCTCTAACAAATAAACTAACCTTTTCTCCTACATCATGCTTGATCATCTCCTGGATGAGGACATCCCCGAGCGTCTTGAAATCATGAACGAATCTCTTGTTCTTAGCTTCACCCGTCTTTTCCTCCACCAGCAGCTCAAAAAGAGTCTTCTCAGCTCGGATGATGCGGGCCAAGTTCCCTGCCTTCTCTCCCAGCCTCACAAGCATCTGCAGTAACTCTGCCATAGTCCACTGATACACATGAATTATAAGAGACATCAAAGATGGATTCAGTTATTAAATATTTTTGGCTCACTATCTTAATACTATATCTCACAGTATTTAATGATAAATCCAAAATATAAAACTTCAAAGGATGAGCCAGGCCCATTAAAGATTTCATGATGATTTCATATCATTTCTATAAAAAGATGTACATGTAGGGCAATTCCACGGTAATGGAAGGACACTCAGACAAGATTTTTGAACTTCAGGTTCATACTAAAAGAAATGTTTTATTAGTATGTATTAAACTATGGGGAACAAAATGTGTTTCAGTCAAGTGGAAAGCTTCATCAACTTCACAAAGTTTGGATAAACACTAATTAACTGGAAAAACCATGTCCATTTTTATGTCCTTCCGTTACCGAGATAATTAATATGCACATTCTTAAACTACTTAACTATAATGACAATTTTTTTTGGGAGAATTAAAGGCACTTATTATATAGGTATTATATCTGTACTGTTTCACATCTTATACTAATAAAACAGTTCTTTTAGTATGAACCTGAAGTTCAAAAATCTTGTCTGAGTGTCCTTCCGTTACCGTGGAATTGCCCTGTATATATAACCATACAATAACCTTGTGACACGAGCAAAATTCCAAAAACAGTCAGAGCAAATTTCGTTCAAATCCGGATCCTTTGACTTTCACTTTGTCATCAATTTTATAGCATTGCAATAATATAGTCTCAAATTTTGCTTTGTTTTTTCAGTCATTTGCTGTATTTTTCTGAATAATATCTCATAGAGGGTGAGAAATCATGGACCAAACATTAAATTTCCCAAAACCTTTAAAATGTGCGTGAGGTTTGGACATCCCATTAATGGGCGTGGCATTCACACAATAACATGAAAATCTATACGTGGGTATGGGCCAACAGAACGAAGTAATCCTGATGCCGAATATAACCGTTTGCATGCATAACTTTGTGAATCAGACACACGTAAGAATACACTTATTAAACATTAGACCGTTGTGCACCAAGAAATATCATAAAACTCTACCAAACTTTCATAATCATAAACATACCTTTACTTTAATCTTGTTGACGGAAAACAGATTCACTTCGCTTCCGAGCAAATGTGATGTTGATATCGATATCAAATATCGATGTGTTTTTTTTTTTTCCCTTTCTTTTTCTTTCTTCCTTTTTTAAAAATAATTTCAAGTAATAAACTTCCTTTGAAAATACTGTATAATATGTAACTTTGCTGTTAAAATGTGAAGTTAATTTATGTTATTAATAGTTCATTCAACAACAAAATCGTCATAATTGGTTTGCATATCAATGTACATGTATTGTTTTGTTAAAGATTTTTTTAAAATAAATAACTTGTTAATGAAAGTAAAGAAATAATCTTTTACATAACAGATATGTCACTAAATGCCTGTTACTGGATACGGAATTTAATACAACCTTTTATATAGGCATATCAGGTACATGAAATATTGTATTAAATTATAATTATTCTGGGTACAATAATCCTAGTATAGGGATTTTCCAAAGGTATTAAAAAGGGGTCAAAATAGATTCCTTGAATTTCTAATAGAGCATACTAAAGGTTTCCTCTAGAACTTCATATATTCGGAGATTTCCCATTTCTATTTTCCCCGTTATTCTTATCATTATTATTATCATTATCATTTTTGTAAATATCATTATTGTTACTATTATAATCATTATTATTATCATTGTTATCAGAGCCAAAAATAAATTCAAATATACCATGAAGACGACATAATTATGTTCCATTTGAGTAATTGCTAACTTTAGTATCTATTCTTAGAGAAAAGAGATAATTATATATATATATATATATATATATATATATATATATATATTTCTGAAAAGTACATTTGAAAAACTTATCACAGGGTATCAGATTGTTTTCATTTGTGTATTTAGTAATAGGTTGAACGTTTATTGTTCTGTCTGGTTTGGGCTCTATTTTTTTATTTTTATTGGAAAATACTTTTGCCATTACATTCTAATTGAACGTAGCTCAGTCGGTAGAGCAGTGGTTTCGTAATCCGGTGACCCGGGTTCGAAACCAAATCGATGCGCTAGTGCCCTTTGGTAAGGCATTATTCCTCATTACCAGGTCCCTCGGAGAGGACCTAAAGCCGTCGGCCGTCTGTTTGCTTACTTACAAGCATTTATGCTTTCAGGTAAAATAACCACCACCACCACCACTTGTATTATTATAATTGTGTCATTTGTTAAAAATAATACTGAGCCCTCGATCTATCCCCTTCCCCTCCCCCAATAAAAAGTAAGCAAATAAATAAATGAATAAATAAAATGTAATCAGATTAGAAACCTGACAATGCTACGCATAGGCACTCCCCAACTCAAGCCCACTGTGACGTAACAATGCACGCGCATGAAACGCGAAGCGCGTATTACCCTGGGAACGCCCTATACTACTACACTACACTGTGAATACATCACAGTGATTATCGTGATAATCTTATCCGAGTGAACTTGCTCTGAGCGTTTTCTCTGATATTTCTCTGATATTTCTTTGCAAATCTTCGAAATATTCTTCAAAAATTACCACCATGGGATGTACGTATTCCAAAGTATGTCCTCTACCAATGGGGTTAGTCGTAGAAACTCCACAAACTCGGCGCCGAAAGCCTAAAGGGAGATCATTATCGGCGGCATTGAAGAATGTATTCAACGGGAGGAATAAAGTAGGCAACTTCAAATTTGAGCTTTTCCACACTGTTTTTAGTCTTTCATATTTTGTTTCTATATTGCTACATGTAATAGTTCAATAGCCTTTAACGTAATTTGTATAGAACACGATCTCAACTACTTTCGAGAAAGAAAAAAGGGGTGATTTCATTGGCCTTGTACGTCATCCATGGGCGTAGATCTGTAATTTTATTGATACCTATTGTTCAGGGGGGGGGTGATATATTCATTCATCCCCCCTGAACAATAGGTATTACGTAAGGATTGACGCCCATGACGTCATCTTCTTAAAAGTACGAACATTACAATGAAATTTTATGTAATCGAACATGATTTCTATGGGACATTACTATACTAAGGATATTGAAATTGCCCTTGAGTTGTTTTTTTTTTTCGGAAGTAGTTTCGATCGTGTTAAAGTTTGATAAAGATATCAACAAACCTCTTTCTTTTACTCATTTTACTATATAAAAAATGAAAAAAATGATTTTCCCCGACTTATGTTTCTTGAGAATGTGACATGAGATTGCGAGAAAGCTTACATCTGAAAGCCTGAATTCAAGAAAGGTTCCAATTCAACTACTGTAGCTCATCTTTCATCTTGAGTTATGAAACAAAATTCATTCAAAGCATGGGAATAGCTGTTATCTGCATATAACTAGGGTTATAATCATTATATAATTTTGTATCTGAACATTTTTTAAAGAAATATTTTGGTTATGCCACTTTATCAAACATTGCTGATAGGTGGTACCCATCAATGATCTTGATCTTGCTAACGACATTGACCAGCCTTCCACATCTTACCCAAGAGATAACACAATCAACGCACACGAATTCTTGGCTTTTGGTAAGTTCACAAGAAATGAATAGGCCTATGTTTTCATAATTATATTGTTTGATTTATTCATTGTTGAATCATTTGATTCATTGTTAAATCATTTGATTCATTATTTCCTCATTCATTTTTTTTTTTTTTTTTGGTTTATTTATCCATTTATCTGTCTTTCTATCAATTCTTTCATTTATTTACCTGTATGTATATCTTTTTCTTTTTATCTTTTTCTCTATTTATTCATTTATTAATTGATTAATTAATATATTGATTAATCCATTAATTCATTCATTCAAACGGTTTAATAATTTGCGGCCTGTTGGAGAGCTTCATATTATATATGTCCTCTTTTTGATGATATCAATAAAAAAAGAAAAAAAAGAAAAAATTAATCAAATAATTTCTCATCTACATCAAGATACATATTAAAAAATTAATGGAAGATTGCATGTGAACGCAAATATGAAGTACTGAAATAAAAATTGGTTATGATATACATTTCTGCACAAACAAGCACATTAATGGCAAAAGAAAAGGGCCCCTACTATTCATAACCTCCCCATACTTCTATAGAACAAAAAGATGAAGTTTATTACTGGAAGAGAGAGAGAGAGAGAGAGAGAGAGAGAGAGAGAGAGAGAGGGGGGAAGAGAGAGAGAGGGAGGGGAAGAGAGAGAGAGAGAGAGAGAGAGAGAGAGAGAGAAAGAAAGAGAGAGAGAGAGAGAGAAAGAAAGAGAGAGAGTGATACGTAGTGTAAATTGCTGAATAGTAATTGTAATTGACTGACATAATTATTAGGGATTTGAACTCGAAAGTAAATTGATGAGACAATGACTCAACACTATGGTTTATAATTGAGTAATTTCCATCTGTTCTTTCTCTCTCCCTCCCTCTCCCTCTCGTTCTCTTAATATTTGTTTACAAATTTGTATCTGCTTTTCAAAGAACGTTTCCTGGCCGGTACTGCTCTTTATTCTGATGACGGCGAGTCCGATTCTGACGATGATGACGTCAAGCAACAGCAACCGTCGATGTCCTACCCACCGGGCAAAGTCAAGAAGAGTTTTGACATCCTCGTCATCGGTAGGTGTTTATATTCCACTAAAAACAGGAAATTTATTTACTTACTATGATGAAGGTATGAGAAGGAGGAGGATTATGATGACAACGGAGATACTGATGACCATTAATATGATCATGATGATGACGATAATGATGCTGATGATTTTTTTGACCATGATTGATTTTTGAATAAAAATAAAAAATACAGTGGAAACCCGAGTGCAAATATGAAAACAGTTGACCCACTATAAATTATGATTACATGACTTTACAAAGTATATAGGTCAAAACGTTATTATTGTTTTATAATTTCTCCATCATTATTACTCTGTGCAGATCATCCTACAGACGAGATAACGGAGGCAGAATCTCACATCACCCAGATTAAGACACGCCCTGGAGGTGTGGCTTTTGAAGTTGCAAATAACTTTGAACAAATCGCAGAGGTAGCAGACATCAAAGTCAGCCGAGGGGGCGTGGCTTTCGAGATTACTACTAACGACTATCCAGCTGCCTCTGCAAAGAGTGACGTTCCACCAGAGATGTCTCTACCGAGTCCACCAATCACAAGCATGAGTTGCACACGTCACGCCAAGGAAGGCGTGGCTTTTGAGATCGACTTCAGTGATAACGAGGAAGAGAAGCGACAACTCAAGACTCTGAGCAAAGTGACGTCACTCATGGCTGAAGGGTGGAGCGAACGTGACGTCATCAAAGAGGCTGATGACGTATGGGTGGCCAACAAAGTTCTTGCGATGAAAGTAAGTGGGGGGAAAAAGTTATGATTTTCTTCTTTTCTAGTTCCTTCATAAAAAGTTCATTCATTTACAAAGCATTAAATAGCACTGGCAAAGTTCTGGCCAGCATGCACCTGGGAAATGCGAGGTATAATGCAAAGACAGTCCAAGAAGGATAATTATATTAAAAAGACTGTAAATGTTTACTTTTCAATGTTTACTTGTTAAATATTCTAATTGGGAGAAGTCCAGACGACGAGAACTTTGATAGTAATCAGGTAATATGTAATTTTACCCAGTAAAATTGCGGTATTGATCGGACTAAAAATGAATTTTATTGGCTTCTCTTTCTCTTTTAAGGACAATGCAAAGGACAACGAGGAACACCTGGCTTCTCTGAGGAAGGCTGATCTAGAATTCGACCTAATGACAGCCACCATGACAGAGTGGAACCTACAAGGTTTCAGTTCCAGGCCTGGAAGAAGAACCTCAGAGAGGGCTTCGGCTGAGCAAGACGTTCCTTATAAAGTAGTAGGACGGAGGAACGCTCCAAGCTAGAGGTATGCCTGATGACAGCCAGTTAACCACCAAACCAGTACATCCTGGTAAAGGAGTCTAGCGCAGAACATAGTCTCGTTAGACAGGCGCAGTTCCAGGCCTGGAAGAAGAACCTCAAAGAGGGCTTCGGCTGAGTAAGGCGTTCCTTATAAAGTAGTAGGACGTAGGAACGCTTCAAGTTAGAGGTGGGTCTGATGATGGC